GTGTTCTTGGTTATGGTTTTACATGACTAATAGTTGACTAGTTATAAGTACATTTGGTTAAGATTTAAAGTGTGTAAAGATTGTTGTGTCTGTTTGAATAATATTTAAATTTACCCCTCCTCACCTAATTACAATTAAAAATTCCCATGTGAGGGATGTACAATCTTTGACAATTCTTTCACTTATTTGCGTAAAAGAACAACAATATTAATTAGAGAGTTCAAAAGAAGGTTATATTGCATGGCAGAAATCATAGAGTTCACCCTTCAAGACATTAACGCTCCAAAATCATTGTCTCATCCCAAGTTCAGTTATTAGAGAGAACTCAGTCATTTCATCATCAGACAAATATATATAAATTAAGAATGAAAAACTGAAATTACCTATTTCAAAAAGAGTTAAAGATTGATATAGATTTGCTCATCATCAGACATCTCTTGAATAGACACTCACAATCACTCCCTCCCACCTTTTTAGGTAGATGCTTTCCTCTATGAATCCATACTCATAAAAAATTCAGATTCGGATTCTACAACAAGGTGTAGTATCCATTGACCAACAAAATATATTGACTATCAACTTAAAGAGTTTTTATGAAAAAATAGCCATTTATCTCATACTTTCATAAATGTCCGTTTTGATAAAAACTTTCAAAAATAGCCAAAAACTCACGTAAATAGACTCAAATGCCCTTAAAACTTAAACCTACATAATCCTAACAAGCAAAAGAAAGTGTCCAGTGAAATGAACTCACAATGTGAAGAGGATATTCCAAAGTAAGAAAACTAAATCTGCATGAAGCAAAATAAACGGCTGAAGGAGCCAACAAAAGGGGGGACCCCCCAAACAATCACAAACAAAGAAAGCCTTGCAATAATGCAAGGGCACCCATAGTACAACAAACCGAAGGCAAAGGGCCTATCAGACCAACGAAGAAAGTATAGCTACAAAGTGAAGAACTGTGCAAGTACCCAAAAAAAAAAATTCCTTTTAAATTTTCGGCTTGTTGATTATTTTATTTTTCATCTCACTGGTAAAACTTAATTCCCTTTACTTGAATGTTTGTTTACGGAATTCATAGATAGAATCAACAACTATAACTTTAATTATTGTTTGGCAACCAAGAGTATGCAACAGTGATGCACAGTCACCAAAAGAATTCAAATATTTGAAGCTTCACAATGAGGAGTCCTGCCGCAAGTAACTTGGTGTGCTTGTCTCCTTGCGAATCTGCTACACACACGAAGGGTAGAAATCTGTCAAACAATTGTTAAAATAGGGTTTTGTTTTTTTAGGTTTATGTGGGTTTGAGTTTTGAGGGTTTTTGAGTCTATTTATGTGAGTTTTTGTTTATTTTTGAAATTTTTTTATCAAAACTAACATTTATGAAAATATATGGCAAATTTTGACTTTTTTTTTTGGGGTAAAAACTCCAACTTAAAAGCCCTATACAAGAAGATAATACTAAAAAATAATATTACATGGAAAAAACCAGCATGCTATAAATTGAGACCATTGAAGGGCGTATACAAAACACGAAAGAAATGCCATTTGCTGTGAACCTTAGATTTATTTTATTTTTATTTTTGTTTTTGTAATTTTAGAAGTTCTCACAAACGTGTAAACCTAATTCATATGAAAAATGAAGAGATTTGAACTAAGTTGAATTAATTTGGAATGATTGTAAATTATTCATGGCACAATGGAGCCCATCCATTTGGACCTGAGTCATTCAGATCTACAGCTAGGTGCGTAGACAGGTTGCTATTGTGGACTGAAGAAGAGCGAACTCGGATCTACTAGTTGGACCCGACCCAAACTAGAGATTCGCGCGTCGAACCGTGGGTTGCACAACAAACCCACACAGTGACGGATCCATGAATTTTTCAGGGGAGGTGCAAGATTTAAAAGACGAAAAAATCGCAAAGGACTCAAGCAAGGTCCAAGGTTCAAGTCTAATATCCATGTAGTGTGTTAAAAAAAAGGCTAAAAATTCAAAAATTAATTTAGACAACCAAATGCCCTTAGAATTTTAACAATACTAATGTTATTCGTAATTAAAACAAATAAGAATTTTACGTGTATTACTAATTGATTACAGTTTGTATGGAATATCAATTAATATGAACAAAATCCATGTCAGTGACACAATTAGTTTACCAAAATTCATATCAAAGATGAACAAAATCCATGTCAATTACATAATTAATCTAACAAAAGTCAATACCAATTAATCTAACCAAAATTAATACCAATTAATCTAACTAAAAGCACATGTGATTTGGAGGTCAGAGATAAAAGTACACGTGATTAAAAGTTCTGGGTAATTTTTTTGTGAATTTTTTGGCACACATATGAGTTTTTAATGAATTTTTTAAGTTAGGCCAATTAGAAATGGACATGTGTCAGCTTGCTATTGGACCATTTAAAAAAAAATCAAAAGTGAGAAGCAGAGTCTTTCTTCTTCCTCGAAGAGCCTCTGCAACTCTAACTTTAATTCTAGAAAAACTTTGAAAATTCATAACTTTGGTTGTGGAGCTCCAATTGATGAACCGTTTTCTCCTACATGCTCGTGAGATCGAGCCCAACAATCTAACGTAAATATTTAGAGTCTCACACAGCAGCAAACAAAACAACGTCTTTGAGGCATTTAGTCGAACAATTGGTGGGCAATAGCGAAGGAGCAAATTCTGACATCCACAGGAAGTTTCCGGCGAGGAGAGGTGCAGCTGCACCTCTTTGCTCCTCTGTGGATCCGCCAGTGCACATATCTTCTCAGTTGTTCTTTTGACTTAATTTTCTTGTGTGTTGCATGTTGTTTTTCTCTGGAGTTTGGTGCAATTTGGACCGTTAATTTAGCTTTAATATAACAGTCCACATCCTACCGCCCTTGAAATTCACTCTCAACTGCCCAAATTAATTCCATTAAAAAACAAAAAATAAAATCTTGGCCATCCAATTGAGCCCAACCCAGCTCCTTTATAAATAGCTTCATCCCTTCATTTTTGTCATTTTGGGCTGATTCCCTCTTGAGAGGAATGGTCTGTGAGAAGGGAGGTTTGTTGTTCCATGACAATTTCTTCACTGAGCAAGAGGGCATGAAGTTCTTCGGCCATTTAGGGTGTATGCCAAGAAGTCGGTGTCATCAAGGGGAGAGCACATGTAGCAACTAGTATTAGCTATATGCTTTTTGAGACTTTGGAAGCATTGAAGGAGAGATGTAACCTTCTAGACATGATATTCAAGACATGATATTCAAGATCTGCTAATTAAATAAGTAATCTTCTAGAGTTATGAGAGAGAGAGGAAGACTGAAATCTTAAAAGGGTAAGTAATCTTTGTAGATTTAAGTTTATTTGCCCATTAATTAAAAAAAGAAAAAAGAAAAGGAAAGATTTATGGTCTTTTATTTGGGTTTGTACACCAAGGCTAAGTGCTAAAAGGGAGGGAAAGATTTAAAATTTAATTTCCTTGTGAGGGTTGGGAACTCTAGTTAGGAAAAGGGGAAAGATTTTACCCTTTTTTTTTCTTTTGTTCAAAGGATACTTCATCCCACATCCAACGCAAGGCAAAACAAAAACAAAGAAACAGGAAGGCAAGGGCACAGACGCCAAAAACTAAAGCTGAAAGCAACAGATGCCCAGCAAAGAACTAATAACGAGAGAAGGAAACCATAAACAACAGCAAGAAAAACAGAAACCAAATACAAAGGAACTGATGGTCAGAAAGCTGCACAACGCTCCCAAGTGATCGTACAAAGAGGGGAAAGAATTTACCAAGTAAAAGCAAAGTTGGGAGTGAGAGCAACTCGACCAGTATCTCAATATCCAAAGGTGACATCTGGATTTCGTGCTTATTTACTTCTGAAGATAAATCCTTGATTTTGCATCCATATCCCAATTTAAATATATATATATATATATATGTGTATGAGATGTTGTTTCAGAGTCCACAGTTTAAGATATATACAGTTATTTTCTCCTCCGTATGTCCGCACGTTATTATCGTGCGGATGCCATTGTAAAGCAGAGATGGGTATATATATCCCAATTTAACCTCTGGGTGTCCTGATCAAATTGGAGGGTATGCGGTCTGTAGAGGAATTGGGGTTGTCGTTGGTGCAGTGAACAAAGGGAGTTCAGATTTGGCTTTCTTAGGGTTGTTTTTCAAGACTGTAGAGCACTATTGGCTCACTTCGTTGATGCCCTTAGAAATAAGCTGGTACGTTATGCCCTGGGTTAAATCAAGTGGCTGTTTGGAGGACAGTGTCGCCAGCTTTGCTTCCTTTTTAATGAAATTCTTGCTTCTGAAAAAAAAAAAAAAAAAAAAAAAAAAAAAGAAAACTAGGGTTTGTGGCTAGTTTAAAAGATAGTAAATTTGAAACTCAAAATTTCGTCCTGGTTTAGGGCTGGGAATTTTACTAGAGTGAATATATAGGCATGCATGAGAGTTCGTAAGAGCAACTCCATATGCCCTTTGCCATGGCAAGGGGGGAGCTAGGGCAGCCACTATTCACATGAATAGTGGTTGCCCTTGCAAAAAGCCATTTCCATTTCCACCCGTTGCCATGGCAAAGGGCAATTACTATTTATTTTTTTGTTTTTTTAACAAACTTTTTTACCTCAATAATTAATTTGGATAATATTTTCAGATAAGATTTTCGGGTTCCTACATGTCAAGGCTATTCATAATCCGATAAAATTTCTAGATAAGATTTTTGGGTTCAAATTTCGGATGAATTTCAAAATTGAAATTTCAGATAAATTTTTTGGTTCAAATTTCGAATGAATTTCAAAATTCAAATTTTAGATAAATTTCAAATTTCAAATTTCGGATGAATTTCAAATTTCAGATAAGATTTTCATCCTATCAAATCAAGCCACGTGACATCTCTATTTGGCCAAAATTTTCTATAAAACCAGAGGCTCAGCTCATACCTCTCACACCACATCTTTCTATATTTTCATTTCTCAGAGTTTAGAATTTATACTCCATTTTCAATGGAAGATTTGAGGAGATACTTGGAGAGGCAAGAGCGAGAAACAAATGAGAGAAGTCGTAGACGAGCTGAAAGGCAAAGGTTGCAGAGAGAAGAAGATGAACAAGTTGTCATAGCAGTGGCTTTGCTAGATGAAGAGAACCAAGGTCGCCGCCGCCGTGGTTCACAAGTCGGCCGTGGCCTGAATGTGGACATACATAGACATTCTCGGGGTAAGAATCTTTTGGAAGATTATTTTATCCCAACTTCTTTGTACTATGATATTGATTTTTGAAGGCGATATAGAATGCAACCCTATTTGTTCAATAAAGTCATGCATGATATTTGCAATTATGATGCATACTTTGTTCAAAAGTGTGATGTTGCTGGGGTTTTGGGACTTCTTCCTAAGCAAAAGCTTACAGTTGTTATATGAATGTTGGCATATGGTTCATCTGCTGATCAGGTGGATGAGATTGCTCGGATGGGGAAGTCCACTACGTTGGAGACCTTGGTAGGATTTTGTGATGCAGTCGAAACTCTGTACACTAGGGACTACCTGGCAGACCTACTCCCAGGGACCTCCAATGGATTCTACAAAAAGCGGAAGCTCGAGGATTTCCAGGAATGATTGTTAGCATCAACTGCATGTACTGGCAATGGAAGAATTGCCCAACTATCTGGCAAGGAGATTACGGAAATAGAAAAGGCCAAAAAAGTATCATTCTTGAAGCTGTTGCTGGCTTCGATACATGGGTTTGGCATGTCTTCTTATGAGTTGCCAGATCCCAAAATGACCTCATCATGATGGTCAATCCTCAGTCTTCAACAATGTTTTGAGAGGCCAAGGCCCTAATATCACCTATCAAGTCAACAACACAGTCTACCAGACGGGGTATCATCTAGCTGACGACATCTACCCGAGGTGGACCACATTTGTCAAATCCAATCTGAATCCCCGATCCCAGAAGCAAAAATTATTTGCTTCCTATCAAGAAGGATACAGGAAAGATGTCGAAAGGTGTTTTGGCATCCTTCAAGCTCGATGGTTGATTATTCGAGGTGCAGCCCATATGTTTGATGAGGAGATCCTCAGAAGCATTATGATGACTTGCATCATCCTCCTTAATATGATTGTGGAGGATGAGTATGATTTCGATGTTGCAGAGGTTTACAAACCGGATCCCATGAACACAGCCTTGACACGAATTCATGAAAGGCCCATGGGCCAAATGGAGAACCATTTGAGCTGAATCCTTTGGTTAGGGATGGTCGTTTTATGACCCGTATGCTAGATCGATATACAGAGATGCAATCTTTGTATATTCATGAAAGGCATCAACTTGAGTTGATAGAGCATCTATGGGCTGTGAAAGGCAATGACGGTGAATGATGGAGCATAGATGCTTTGGTTAGGTTTTATTTAGTTATGGTTTGGTTGTGGTTTGTTTTTATTATTGTGCTTTGGTTGTAGTTTCTTTTATTTTTTATTATGCTTTGGTTGTGGTTTTTCCTTTTAATTATGTTTTCTTTGATGTATGAAATATGTTGAATAAAAAAGTATTTTATTGAATGCTTTGTTTATTAAATAAAGAAAGCCAATACAACTACTAAAATAAAGAATTACTACTACTAAAATAAAATACATGAATTACAACAAATAAAAATACAAAACATGAAAAATACAAATAAATAAAAGGTATGCCAACTAATTTAATGGTTTTGATCATTTAACCAATATGTGTTGCTAGGTCCATCGTCACGGAAAAGTCTTCTTCTCATAGCATCCCTTTGTTCTAGTTTCCAAAATTGTTTTGTTTCAGGGGACATATGGCTTGTATCCATGGCCATGGTTTCCTGATCCGTCTTCTCAATGTGTTGTTTGCGCAAATAATCCCTTTCTTGTAAATATTCTGCTCGAATTGTCATCTCATTCTCTTGGTGTTTCTTCTCCATTTCAATTCTTATGGCAGCTAGTCTTGCAATTTCTTCCAAATTTTTTGATGTATTAGTGCTAGAATTACTCCATTTCTTCGCCTTCGCAGCCTTTCGGCCAATGGGCCTCGGCTCCTTTTCGATGAGTGAGTCTTGACTCATAGGGGAATCTCGAGGTGAATCTGATGTTGTTGAATCATGGAGTGGCGTCTCGTTTAACATAACGGGGGGACCCGTGGGAATAATTCTGAAGCGCTTGCAATTTTTCACCACCTCCCAACATTCATGATGGTTGAAAGGTTTTTTGCCTTGCCCAATTGCACCAAACCATATCTGTGCGTGTATAAGCTATTAACAAAAAAATAAAAAATAATGAAAACGCAAGAAATATTTAAAATATATTGGAAATGAAAGTAACATAAAAAAATAATAATGGAAATGCAATTAACCTTACAATATATTGGAAATGCAACAAATATTAACAAAATATTATTTATGCAAGAAATATAAAGAAAAAATTGGAAATGTAAAAAATATTAACAAAATATTGAAAATGCAAGAAACATTAAAATATATATATATATATATATTAGGACATTAAACTTAATAAAACGAAAATTACAAATATTTACCTTGTTACTAAGATTTTCCCTGCTTCTATGGTTGTCCCTCGCTTTTGCCAAGGCACCTCTCCATTTTGCCAACTCTTTATTGAGAATTTTCCACCTACTAGACAATGTCATTTCCGTACGAGTCGACCCCGGAATTCTTTCACAAAATTTGGCATGAATTTTTTTTCACATATGACAAAATTTCATTTCATTGCCTGACACGGGACAATGACTAACTTGGAGCCAAGACTCAGACAAGAAAACATCTTCCATGGTGCTCCACGCCCTCCTGTTTCGATAGAAGAAGCCATAAAGATAAGAAATAAAAATACAATTTGAAAGTGAGGAAAATGTTGAGTAAAGAGTGAATAATAGTAGAAGTAGAAGAAAATGTATGAGGATTGGTGTTGAAAGTGAAGGGTATTGATAGGTAATTATAGAAAAAAAAATTCAGAATTTTTTGGTATTTTTTAAAAAAATTTCAATTTTTTTTTCATAATTTTATTGCCGAAAAAATGCCAGTCGTTGGATTGGAGGAGCAGAAGCAGATCGGAGTGCCTAGGGCTTGACACGTGTCTTCTAGCCGTTGGAGATTGCGCAAGGTTGACATTAGCTCACACGATTTTAAATTTTTTTTACCGTTTGCACGCGCCAAAGGTAAAAAAAATTTAAACCGCGTGATGACGTTGCGCCTGACGTCATCCCCCCTCAGGCTCGAGCTCAGGCGAAACTGGCCCTTGGGCCAGCCCATCTTTGTGGGTCCCACTCCCAGCCCGAGCAAGACTGGCCTGTTGGAACGTGATTTTTCGCACAGCCCACCCCCAACCTCGGGCTTGGGCTGCTCGGTGGAATCACTTTAAGAATGCTCTAATATATGCAAGTTTCTTTTTCTTTTTTCTTTTATATTTATTTTCTGAAATTAGTTTTTCAGGATAAATAAATAGATTTTTTTGTTTATTGAATCTACTTCTTTTTAGTTTACATTTTCATGAAAATTTGCAGGATATAGTTCCTTGGTTGACTAACAAATAGCAGACCCAATGAAGCTGCAACATTGGACCGTGTTGCGGCATGTTTTCTTCGTCTTGTTGGTAATTTTTCTTCTCATCCTTCTAAATTTCTCATTGTTATCACTTTAATACTTCATTACAAATATTCAAACTAAACTTTACTGTAGGTAATTGGCATGTTGGTACTTTCTGGGTTATTGATCGGTATCATCAAACGTATCGAGCATAATGTAAGTTTAATCTCTAAAATTTACAGTTAATTATTTTGTTAATTAATTATACATGTAATCTACATAATAATTAATTAATGTTACAAGAATTTTCGAGACGTTTAGGTTCTTGCATTTGCTTACACAGAGAGTGGGCTAGTCAGATTTGTTCACAAGAACAGCAAAGTAGCATTCACACTCCTAATAGTGATGATTGCTATTATGGGAGTCTTCAGTGTGAGTTATATTTTCCTAATGCTTAGTGCTGGGAAACGGGAGATGCTTCTTTGTGCCACACTCATAAAACAAATGGAGGCGACTCAACAAGCTGAGAGGAAGAGTATGAGGAAAAGTCTTGCGTTTGCTTCTGCAAGCCATGATGTTCGTGCTGCTCTCGCCGGCATTACCGGTTTGATCGAGATATCTTACGAGGAAGTAGCCCGAGGTTCAGAACTAGAGACGAATTTGAGACAAATGGAAGCTTGTACGAAGGACCTTTTAGGTAAGTTATATTGCTAAAGATAGTGATTAACTGGTATTGGGTACTAATCTACTTTACATTGTCGATGTTTAATTGATAGTTGATAGGTCAGCCACCACCCCAACCTCCAAAACCACATTTATTCCTCTTCCCATAATTTTATTTTGTGTTTGCTGTATATATATATATTTTTTTTTCTCGTGTTTTAGATTTTGGTTTGGGTACTTGTGAATTTCAAGTGGTGACTGGGTGTGGGATTTTTGGTTTCTGGATACTCTGTTGGGATGGTTGTGGCTGGGGGCAGGTCGGATTGGTGGGGTTGGGTATGGCTGGGCATCGAAGGTGGTAGGTGGGGTGGGAGTTTTTCAATGTTTATTTGGAACATGGGGAGGAGAAATCAGAGTAGTGAGATGGGTTGGGGGCGCGGGGAGATGGCAGTTGGCGGTGGAAGAGGGTTGGGTTGAGGTGGGACTGGGGGACGTGGGAGGATTGGTGCTGGGTTATGTGCCTTAAAAGTAGGACTTATTATCTGATTTTATTTTTATTTTTTATTTTTTATTTTTATTTTTTTAATATAAAAAAATGTGAATTTATCATACTATCCTCACTTAATTAATAATTTCAATTCTTAATGATTGAATTAATCAATGGCATTTATTAGTATTTTGAATGTTTCACCATTCTCTGCCTTTTGCTCTTTATATATATATATATATTTGGCAACTCAGTGACCAAATTGATGAAATTGAAAATTTAGTGACCAAAATAGATTTTAGGTATAAACACATCAATCAAATATCAACATAGTATGGATAAAAACATCGATAAGTTAACTCAATAGTATACCATATATTGTAAATTAGTACTCGTCATGAACAATCTTTTCTCAATTGTTAATAAATTAATCCTTCCATACATTTTTTTCAATGAACTGAATCCTTCTGTACATTTTGATATATCAGTTTGAGTACTTGTTATATAGGTATATTGAACTCTATTCTTGATACAAGCAAAATTGAAGCCGGTAAGATGCAACTTGTGGAAGAGGAATTTAATGTGGCCCAACTACTTGAAGATGTAGTTGATTTGTACCATCCTGTGGGTTTAAAAAAAACGGCATAGATGTGGTGTTGGATCCTTACGATGGCTCTGTCATGAAGTTTGCACGAGTTAAAGGCGATGGGGGAAGGCTTAAGCAGATATTGTGCAACTTATTAAGCAATGCTGTTAAATTTACTTCAGAGGGGCATGTGACAGTTCGTGCTTGGGTTGAAAAACCCGATTTCAAGAATTCTATAGCTGCAAATTCTGACCGGAGGGGTGCCGTATTGAAAAATTTGCTATGCTTTCTATCAAACAAGAAGAAATCACAAGATGATGACATGGAAGTAATGAATGGGGTCCAGCAAGATCCAAATTGTTTGGAATTTATTTTTGAGGTGGATGATACTGGGAAGGGAATCCCCAAGGAGAAGCAAAAAGCAGTGTTTGAAAATTATGTACAAGTCAAAGAAACAGCTCTTGGAGAAGGAGGTACTGGCTTGGGACTTGGTATTGTTCAATCTCTGGTAAGTAAAATATAAACTTGCTTAAGAATTTCTTGAATTCAGGGCATGCGTTAAATTTGATATTTTTGTTTGCACTAGGTACTTTTGATGCATGGCGAAATAAGAATTGTGGACAAAGAGATTGGGGAAAGAGGGACACGCTTCAGGTTTAATGTTCTTCTAAGTCATGTATGTGAGAATGTCTACAAGGATAGAAGAAAAGAAGAAGACCTTGAATTGGGAATAGCTGCCATTCACAGTGCTCCTACTCCCGGTACTCCCAGGCTGACCACTCGTGCCCCGAGTCCTAAGGCAGAGGGATCCAATGTTGTATTGCTGATAAAAAATGAAGAGCGTCGAAGAATGGTGTACAAGTTCATGGAGAGTATTGGGATAAAAGCATGGATGGTAGAACAACGGGAACAACTTCGTCCTACTCTCAAGAAGATAAAACACAAGGGGAAAGGGTCTCATCACCGTAGTTCTTCACGAATATCTGATTTTGGTTTGCAAGATTGCTTGAGCAAATCCACATCATGCAACTCTAGCTTTAGATTATAGGAGGTGCACCATTTGAGGAGTTATGTAACATTGTAGCTGAATTCCAAAAAAGCCTTCAAAATGCTTGGTGCAAGGTTGTTTGGTTGGCAAATCCATTGATACAAAGCAACATTAACTTTGACAGCCTTGATCCAGACGACGTTATCAAACACAAGGCGCTTCACGGTACCCGTCTATACGAAGTGGTAAGACTTCTTCCAGAGTATGGAGGCGCACTGCCAAAGAGATTAGGGGGCACATTTGATGTTGGAAAAGTCTCCAGAGCCCTTAGTTCATCAAGATACCAGTTTCACACCGACCGTGAATTTGAAACCTTGTCTTCACCAACTCAAAATCATAAGTCTCACAATGTTAGCTCCAAAGCAAGAGACCTACCAGTTGATCATGACCGCCCACTTCCACATAGAGAAACAAAAGGACCTGATAAGCCAAGCAGGCCTTTGAAGCAGCAAGAGAGATAAGGAAAGAGGAGAAATCTTACGACGTTCACATTCCGATCATTGCATTAACTTCTGATGAACAAGGCGAGGAAACAAGAAGGATGATTGAGGCTGGCATGGACCACCATTTAACCAAACCCTTGAAATTGGATCGTCTACTTCAAATAATTAGATACATTGATAGCAATGCTGCTATATAAAATAATTTTATTTTGTATATTTTCCATCTATTTTTTTTAATTTAAATTCATTGAGGTTCGATTATTTTGTTGTTTGTAAATAATATGATAATTTTGTGATTTTTTTTCCAACAAGTGTTGTGGCATTCATACACGCCTACTTATCTTTTGGAGGACGAAGTTGAATTTTTGTATGCATATCTCATTTTCTCACCTTCTTTGCTGAATACTATTCATGTGGCTGTCAATATTATCGAGATTACTAGTTGGCTATTAATGACTAACTAGTTGTAGGTGCGAACCATGGCATATCTTTAGGTTCTAAAGACTACACCACAAGTCACCTTTAATACCACTCCGAAAAGGCTAAACGAAACGTGTTATAGCCGATGCTATAAAATGTCCAAATCCATTATAGCGTTTTTGAAATGCTATCTTAATTGTATCTTCTATAGCGTTTTTCAAATGCTGTCCTAAATGTTTTGATAGAAGGGCTATATAATTACTTTGACAGCATTTCTTTTGAGATGAACTAGTTTTTTAATTGTACTTCAGTTTATTTCTTTTGTTACAATAACTACAGAATTCTTTTCCTACGACTGAATGTAAAGTTGTCCGATAATGAAACAGCCTTGAACCAAATTGGTGAAGCATCTTCACAACAAGAAGCTTCCAGGAGGTAACAATCTAGATTGAGTTCTCATAATTTTAAAAAAAAATTTAAAAACTGTCACGTATCTTAACTTCTTTTATTACATGACCCATCAAGTTAAGAATCTTACATTATCACTAAAGCCCTTATTTGGTGACTAAAGCCCTCAGTCACCTCAGCATTAGCCACCTAATATCACCATATAATGATAACTGTTGCCACTTTTTTTTGTAGTGATTGAGCCACAAGCCTTGAGATGTTGTAGAACCGACTGAACAAGGGTGAACACCTCCGGAGAGAGGGGAGGCATGTGCGGCAACTGAGGGCCTTTCTAATCCATTGGGTACAATGCATTAAAGCGATGTCGTGTAATGCGTAGCATGTTATGTCCCATAAAGTGAAGTGTAAGCATTGACGTGTGTTGGCTACGCTTTTTGTGAGTAAAAATAATATAGTAAAAAAAATAAAATAATACTTAATATATGCGATAAAATTGTTCTTCTAACTATCATAAAATCACAATAGCCAAGCATTCAAGAAAACAAAAGGTTCAGAAAATTCAAGGTATGGCCTCCAATTTCATGGATTTTCTTTCGATTTTGTGGCAAATTTGGGGGTTTAGTTAGGGTTCATTTTCTTTGGAGGGAGCACATACCTAGCTTTAGGCATGATTTTGCTAGATTTTTAAGCGTCTAGGACTGAAATGATGTCTTTTCAGTCAAGAAATTTTGTTTATAAAAAGCCTATTTCGCACAAGCTACAGTGCTATAGCGTTGATGTGTAAGCTATTTGGAAATTTAGCGAAACAAATAAACTACGTAGAAAAAAGCTTACGCGACGCTATATAGCCCGCTGCAGTAAGAGCCTTTCCACCCATGCAGCCCAGCCCGAGGCTAGGGGAAAAAAAAAAAAAGGCTTTCCAGCGGAGCAGCCCAGGCCCTGGGGGGGTGTGGGACCCACCTCCTCGGGCTGGCCCGAAGGCAAGTCTTACCCGAGGTCCAAAACGAGGGGGGGTACTGTAGCGCTACAGTATCTGCTACATTAACGCTATAGTACCCCCGCTACAGTACCTCGCTGATTTGATTTTTTTCCTGTTGCCACGTGGCGTCGTCTGGGCTCTCCGATCTGATTTTTTCCTCCAATCCAACGGCAGCCAATTTTTTTGCAATAAAATACTGGAAAAAATTCGGAAAATTTTTTTAAAAATACCCAAAAATTAATGAATTTTTTCTATAAATACCAGCCTTTTTTTTTATATAATTTATCTGAAATTTGAAATTGAAAATTTTATCCGATTATGAGATATGAATAGTATTGACACGTAGGAACCCGAAAATCTTATCCGAAAATATTATCCAAATTAATTATTGAGGTAAAAAAAGTTGTGAATAAAACAAAAAAATGAATAGTAACTGCCCTTAGCAAGGGCAACGGGTGGAAACACAAAATTCGGATTTTGCAAGGGCAACCACTATTCACGTGAATAGTGGCTGCCCTAGCTCCCCCCCTTGCCATGGCTAAGGGCAAATGGGTGGAGTTGCTCTAATGCTATTCAAACATTGATTGGGTATAAAGAGAGTTTTCAAAGGTAGAAAGATGTCCATCGGGAAGAGGGAGGAACTGAGGAAGGGCAAGGCTCAGTCCCATCAATAATGTTGACCATATCATAGTGTTTGAGCACAGGGAGAAAGAAATCTTTTAGGAGGAGGTAATTTTCTCTTGTAAGTTTGATGGGGAGGAGGTTGGGGACATGTTGAGTAATCAAAGGAACGGGATCAGAAGAGGAGCTCTAGGGATGTCAGAAAAGGGGTTGGTATGAAACCTCTGAGTTTTGCAAAGATGATTTGAACAAACTGCCGATCCACCAAATTGGGTCAAGCTTTATTCGCAATCCCCTCTCTCACACTCTAATTCTTCAGTCTCTCAATCTGAGAGATTTGGTAAGTTTGTTCAACAACATTTTAAACCCTCAAATTTCATAATTTGTTTGAAATTTGCTGGCCAATCTTTTTTGGTTCAGAAAATATGAATTGTGAATCTGCTTTTTCATGCTCAGGGTTTAGATTATGTATTTATTGTTGAGAAAATATGAATTTGTACCGACCACATGGCTGAAAATGTTAGACATGCTTGCGGGTTCAGAAACTATGGATTCAATCTCTCTTGCTCATGATGTTTTCATGCACTCATATTAGTTAGAAAACATGAAATTATAGGGATGAAATATGGCTCAATAAGTCAGATATGCTTCCTGTTTCAATCTGCTATTTCATGTACTGAATATGTTAGATATGTTATATAGATGGAGGTGAACCAGGAGAAGAAGTTGTTGCTTCTAATCAGCCACCACTTATACTTAAATAGATCAACAATTGATCCCACATATTACGGAACATCAAGTTTGAGAACTCATTTCTTCGCTCCCCGCCACTCAGCTTAAATCTGGAAATAAAATATTTCTGATTGTATGTGTTTATTTATATCCTTGCCTTGCACTCCAAGGCTCTTGTAATTGTTTTGCTTGGCTACAGGTCATGTCGGCTGATCTCTTGTAATGAAATATTATTCTATTCTTGCTGCAAATCCTTCAGAGACGATGAGATAAATTCAACATAATTGGATTTCCTATTTGATTAGTGCTTCCACTTATGTGTCCAACCACCTTCACCACACGTACTGTTCTTACCTACAAAAGGATATGCCGCTCTTGCAAGTTGCAACCTCAGTACTGTTTTCTTAATTTAGGAAAATCACAAAATATTCACTCTTTTGTTTTGATGAAAACCAACCCTCTTCCCATCAGCCACAGCTAGCAACTTGCTGTTTGAGCTTTAAGAAGTTGTTTGTAAAATTTTCCCAAATTTTTTGGGTTTTGTAAAATGTTGCTGGGGAAATGTACAGAAGAGTCTTGATATTTGATCTTACCCAGACTATAGCAAGCAAAGAATACGCTGTTGTAAGATTAGTCTATTTTGTGCTTCAAATGTTAAGAGAAGACATGAAAGTAGAGTTTTTATAACTTTGTATTAAAGAAAATTAGGAACTGAAGAGAAAACCCTTGAAATAGAAAAAAGATGAATTAATTGGCATATTCAATGCAAGTGCTTACATCATGGTTCCCTTCGTGGCTCCACTGTTTAGAAAAAAATTGGCACAACCAAGAAAAGATAAATTAAAGAAGGGAGGTATCTGTTCTCTTACTCTTCCTCAATTTCAAGGCCTGGTACGTATTCTAAACTCACGTCGAAAATGACCGGACTACTTGGAGCCACCCTTGGCCTTCCTGGAGCTGAGTTGAGGCCCTTGGGAAACGCCAACTAATCAAAACCACAGTAAAAGCACAAAGGTTAGAACTATGCTGCTGGGAAGTCATAGAAGCACTTGCAATTGGTGGTTGGAAGATATCAAAGCCAATACAATCATGACTGTTAAAGTTTCAACTTAACCCCACAGAAGAAACATAACACATAATGCCTCGAACAGGTTCTAGGTTTTTGAATACCGCTCTTTTTCCCTTTTTCTTTTTTGACTGACAAAGAAATGATAGAATTCAGATTTTACTGTAGGCCAACGTTTCAGAAGCCTCTAGCCTAGTAGAGGCAAAAGAAAACCTTGTCAAATAGAGAAAGTAAAATGTATCTCATCCTTCTCTTCGATAAACCTCCCATGAGGAGCTATTATTAATAATATCTTAGTTTTCCAGGTAATGATACATTTGTGAGCACCCCAGCCTAAAAAATTTGGATAAGCTGCATGGCTGAGTAATCTCATAAACACTGTGATCAACGAAATATTGCATTGCTATTGACAGGACGGGAAAGTATTCTACTAGAAAAGAATTCCAAGGAATAAATGCTCATATAATTGAAACTAATTTCTTCTTTTCTTTTCTGTTTTTTTTATAAATATAAAGTTCCCTGTTTTTCTGTTACAAATAACACAAAGTAAAAAACTTACCGATCCTGGGATGTAGAGTCGGCGCTTCCCTCCTATTTTCATGGATAAGATCCCTTCATCAAGTCCCTTGATCACCTGTTCTACTCATTCAGATTAACAATTATTAACAAACATCCTTTTTCCCAGCAAGATAAGTTACTTTTAAATTCCTATAACAAATTGAGAATGTGTAATGTGATTCAAACAGTACCAATCCTTCTGACTCCCCTTTAGTCATGTACTTCATGTAATCACAGAGTTTTTTTCTCTCCAAATTTTATTTTTGGGTGATTGTACAATAACATGCTATCAGAGCCTTTCCAGCGGTAAAGCCCAGCCCGGGGGGGGGGGGGGGGGGGTGTTCCAGCGGACAGCCCAGGCCCGGGGGAGGTGTGGGACCCACCAAACCCAGGCTGGCCCGAAGGCAACTTCTGCCTGAGGTCCAAAACGAGGGGGGTTACTGTAGCGCTACAGTATCTGCTACAGTAACGCTACAGTACTGCTACAGTACCGCTACAGTACCTCGCTGATTTGATTTTTTTTCCTGTTGCCACGTGGCGTCGTCTGGGCTCTCCGATCTGATTTTTTCCTCCAATCCAACGGCAGCCAATTTTTTTGCAATAAAATACTGGAAAAAATTCGGAAATTTTTTTTAAAAATACCCAAAAATTAATGAATTTTTTTCTATAAATACCAGCCTTTTTTTTTATAATTTATCTGAAATTTGAAATTGAAAATTTTATCCGATTATGAGATATGAATAGTATTGACACGTAGGAACCCGAAAATCTTATCCGAAAATATTATCCAAATTAATTATTGAGGTAAAAAAAGTTGTGAATAAAACAAAAAAATGAATAGTAACTGCCCTTAGCAAGGGCAACGGGTGGAAACACAAAATTCGGATTTTGCAAGGGCAACCACTATTCACGTGAATAGTGGCAGCCCTAGCTCCCCCCCTTGCCATGGCTAAGGGCAAATGGGTGGAGTTGCTCTCACCAAAACGACGACAGGACCTATAATGTCATTGATTACTGGAAAACTTTGGAGTTGTATTAATTGTTTCAAGAAGCAAGCTCATGATTAAATAGGATAAGTTTGGAACTGAAAGCACAAATAGACCACAATATCATTAATGTGATTACTCTTCTTCTCTAATGAGGATGAGGATGACTGAAAAATCATAAATATAAAACAAATGATTGGAGACATTTATAGAGCATACCTGACCAGAGCCAACACGAAATATATAAACTTGACCCTTCTCCAAGGAACTGTATAATTGAGGAAAGAATACAAGAGTGAGAACTTGGATCTTATCTAAGCCCCAATCAAAATTTGTCAACCACAAAACTTGTTCCGAACCAAAAAAGAAAAGTTATAAAAATTAAAATTAAAATTAAAATTAAAAAAAGATGTAGGACGCCACCATATATTAGGTCCCAAGCGGAAAACCTTTAGAAAATATCAACAAGATCATATTTACAAATTAACCAACGTGAAGTTTACATCTCTGAGATGCTTTAACAACTCTTAATAAATGAACAAGTAATGCATATCATGAGTAAGTACCATGCCAGGGTATATGTTGCTTGGATAGTTTCTCATGTTAAGGCTACTGTGGTTTGATGCAAAGGAGAATACCCAAAGCTTCCCAGTGGTGCATCATGCATAGAGACGTAAAAAATGACAATCGGTTTTTTCTTCACTTCCCAACACTTCCCAATAAAATTGTACTCGTGGTTGAGTCTGTTTAGGGAAGTTTATCTGAGCTGGGTAAATCCAGCTACATGCTTATTATTTTTTTGTGAGAAGCACATTTCTTTCGGTGGTGGTAAGAAGGAAAAAGTTTAATGGATTAGTAGTGCGGTAGCGGTCTTTTGGTAATTTCATTGAAGAGGAATAAAACATTTTCTGAAATCATGGTAGGGAGGAGGTGAAGGTTTTATGGGACAAATTCAGACTTTTGTCTTCATTTTAGGTTCACTGTCTTCTGAGTTACATCACATATTGTTTCTTCCATTTTGGTAGATAGTAAAACAGCTGTTAAGGCTGTTATTTAGGCCTCTCAATTGTGTTTTGGATCTTTCTCGTTGTTAGAAAGTCTATTGTTTCCAATATTTTTCTGTCTTTGTTGATGTAGGAGTGATGGACAACTTGTCCAAAGTAAAAGTTCTGTTCCTGATCAGGAAAAGGAAAGAAAAAGTTCTAATAAAGTGTGTGCCTTGTACCTTACGATATATTGTATCCAGAATATTGTTTTCTCCTGTTGTTGTGGGGATTGGGCCGAAGTTTTATGGGACAAAGTCAGATTTTGGTCTTGACATTGGGTTTCCGTTTCTTTTAAGCTTTCGGAACATAATGTTTTCTTCTAATTTGGCAGATTGGAAAGTATCTGTTCTTTATTCCTAACTGTGTTCTGATTGTTTGCAATATTGTTGCTGTCTACATTGATGCATATATGTTGTGGATAACTTGTCCCCAGAGTTGTATTTTAACTTATTTTATAAAACTATTTCTAAAGAAAGAAAATCATGAAAGCTATTGCACTTTTTTTGCTGCTATCTAACAATGTGATACCTGTCAAATATTTGTCCAGATGGAACCATGGCAACATAATTCGCCGCCACCTACATAAAAATGATACAAACTCTGTCACCATATGAGAGTCAAAAACACAATAAACAATGTATATCTATTGACAAGTAGATAAATGTCTGTATAGAATTCTATGCCTCCCTCTCTCTCTCTCTCTGTGATAAAACCACCCACTATTTCCATATAGCTAAACCATAATATTAGCTAATTCACCTGGAGTGATATCAAGCTAGCTTGGTTCAGTCAAGCAAACAACACATATATGGAGATTAAGAAAGTAAAAGGAACAAAGGCTTATTCTCAGTAAGGAGATGCCAAAACTTTGACGCAAAATATACATTGATACCATATCTAGGAAACCAGAAAGTAAAAGGAAGTAGAAAATTTATATTTGAACTTCTAACAGTTAAGAGAGGATGAGAGCAGGTACCAAAGACATGTGGCTGTAGAGGCAATAAGTACTTATGAATTGTGATTATCTTAAGGACTGCATAGAAGTGCATTTTACGGAGATTCACAAAGAAGCAGAGATGATGGTACAAGAGCCAATATCAAATACAGAAAATAACCTTTAAATTCTATTAACAATCAAGTGCTTGTTTGTGTCAGAGAAAACAAAAATCCAACATATTCTAAAAACTAGTTCTCCCAATATGGATTTACCACCTGGATTTGCGGTTGGTGGTGGTGAGAAAGTCTGTAAACTAAAGAAGGCTGTGTATGGCTTAAGCAATCTCCTAGAGCTTGGTTTGGGAGATTTTACTCAGTCTATGGAGAAATTCGGAAAGAGCAATTCTGATCATACATTGTTCTTAAAGCACAAGGAAGGTAAAGTAATTGCTTTAATAGAAATAGGAAGTTTTTATTAGTAGAATTTTGTGTGTTAACTTTTTTACTTCTATGAGGTTCATTTGTTCCTTGTTTGTACATCATTGTAGTCCCTTCGATACCTCCTAGATGGAGAAGAACCAACATTCAGAAATTTAACCTAAAATTTAACATTACACACCTGAAAACCAACTGGTGGGCTGGGGCCTTGACCAACTTTAATATCCTTGTACTGCAAACCGGACTCTGTAGTTACCAAAGGTATCTTCAACAAAGAGACAAATTTAGCATCCATTACCAATACGGTTGATAGTTCACGTCAACAGAGAACATTCGTCACTGACATAAAATCAATGAACTTCCAGGGAAAAAAACATGATTATGATCATTTTAACCAGAAACAATGCATCCTTATTAACTGACAGCAACAGAGTGAATTGATCATATGAGCTGCTATAAAGTGGAGAAAACGTATCTCAAGTAAAAGACACAAATCATTATGTTTAAATAATGTCTTGGGAGGTTATGCTCAGGTTGCATAATGTAAAGCGAAAGGTAAAATAGTGCTAGCAGAGACAATTTGACCAACTTAACTTGAACTCCGATTCAGTTAATAGATATCAAGGTCTGGCACAACATCTTGGAGCTCATGCCACAACAAGAACCATATGAAGGGATTAAATAGATAGGCTCAAATTGGTGTGTATGCAAAGTTTCAAGGGAAAGAGATAAATAGAAATTCAGGATCATATGAAAAAGTTCGTAGAATGAACTACTCATCACAACGATTCTGAAACAGGCAACAAAAATCCTTGTTAAAATAATGAGGAAAAAAGTAATAGAGTTGAGTATAAATGCAAAAGGAATGCATAAATAGAAATAATTGGTGGAGAGAAATTGGGAGTGTCATGATATATAAGGCAGCACTAAAACTAGATTTTTCACAACATGCATATCACAGGTGTCCTTTTAATAATGTAAGAAAGCACTAATTACTTGGAAATAATTATTTATGTATATCTTTATATATTCTTGTCTATTTTGAATAAAAATATTATTGTCTATTGTTGCACTAGACAGTATGTAAAGGGTTAAGCATAACTATGAACGAGCCTCACAGTTCTAGGTATTAACCCTTTTTTCTGAAAACCCCAAATGGAACCTTTCATTCGGGCAAGCTACATAAAACTGACTTCAAATCCTCTGAAGCATTACCTCCATTTTTCCAGTTTGAGAAATATTTCAAGTCCCAAGAGTTGAATCACAATATTATTTGTAAACTTCATATTTTTTAAAGACTTAATGAACAAGCCAGAGATCAGTATTATGCAAGTTATAACTGCTATAAAATCTGCTAGAATTTTGGAGTGAGTAATATTTGAACTCCAAATATGCAGTTAAGGGATCCACGCAATCTCACCATACATTTTCAAGCTCTTTCTCACAAGGACCATCACATAGCCTAGGCTTTTCTTCTGGGGGTAAGCCAGCTCCCTCAGCTTCAAATGAGTCTATCACAAGGCTTGAAACTCCAAGAAGCAACCCAATCATATCTCTTCTTTTCGTTAAACAGAACTGATCCATATATCCTTTTGGTCTTGCAGCTTTAACAGTAAGTTCTGAATTTGAACATCGCACAAGCACACCCCGAACTTTTGCGCAGGAAATGCCTTGATAATTTGCAGATATCCTTTTTCCAGAAGATGGACCTAACACAAGATGAGCTAATTTAATGGAAAAACACCATAACTAAAGCTGTGATATAGCATATGGGTAAAACTTGAAAGCAAAACAGAACATCTAAAGCTGTGGTACAGACACATATAAAGCTTCTTCGACAGGACCCCATGCCGTCCAAACAACCATTTGTTCTTCGGTTCATTACCTTAGGCTGTAGACTAAGGTTCAGGGCCTAGGATTAGCTGAAAGCCTTAGATCCTAAACCATTACCCAAAGCCCTAATTGTAAAAGTTAAATAAATCTACAAGGGCCATGCTGTTCCTAAGAAGCTGACTCTATTCCAACTGCCTGCTTTTCTACAGCACCAAAATTTTAAAGCTCCCTCCATTTATAGCCAATTTCTTGCAAAGCTGCAATATGATCTGGACAATGTTCAACCTTCACATTGCCACTCACTGCCCCCTCTCCTTCCAAAAAGAGAAACAATTGTTCCCGTCACGAACTTCGGATTTGTACGGGCAAAACCCCATTTTAAATCTTTGACATGAATCACACACAGTGGACCTGGTTCAAATTGTACAAATTAAACAACACCACTCTCCAGCCCAAGAACTAGAGTTCACAGTCACCCCTGAAAGTGGATGAGGGCTATCTCAAATTCTAGAGCCATTGATGTGCCGTTTGACATTGATGGGCCGATTTAGAAATTAAAAGAAACTAATAAAATTTTACTAAGAAGAGGATTATACAAAATAAAATACAAACATAACATAATCATTCTGCTCACTAATTCGCAACATATGAATCCCACAAGTACATATTTGAATGGAAATGTTCAAAAAATTTATGCCTTCTAAATTATAATAGTACCCAAGAAAAAGAAAAAGGCAAACACAGAATTTTTATTTTTATTTTTATTTTTACTGAGTTTTCTAATTTTGAACATGCACATTGAGATTGATAAGAAGATGGAAAAGTAATAAAAAGAAGGCTATCAAGAAGAAAAGTGATTACCAAGTGGAAGGAGCAGAGTCGAGGAAGACGAAGCCATGCTCAAGTGGAAGTGAGGAGTTTGTGACGTCCACAGACGGATAACGAAATCAACTTGTCTGTATAAATAGAGCTTGTCCAAGTGCGTACTTTTCTGCGGCTATGTGGCATTCACCGGATTTTTTTTCCCTTTATTTATTTATTTATTTAATTTTTTATTCCTATAAAAACGAAAGGCTTGTTTTATTTATGGGTTATCCGATTTGCATTTGAGTCCCTCAATTTCTAAAATCATTCCCATGGTCCTTCAACTTCAATTTCGTTAGGATAAATTGTCCTATCGTCAATTTTGTTAACTTTTTTGTTAAATGTAGGGGTAAAATGGTATTTTTATATTTTTAAATTTTAAATTGATTAAAATATGAATAAAATATTAAAAACAAAAAAATAATAAGAAAAAATTCAAGTTTTTAGGAATAAGAACTCATTTTTAATTTTTAGTTTGATTGAGGATATGAATAAGATTTTTTAATTTTGAGTTTCTAATTTTTAATTTTATTTTTTGGGTGAAAGAAATTTAGAAATTGGAAATTAAAAATAGAGTAATGCCATTTAGACACAATATTGACCACCTTAGTTGACCACCTTATGTGGCAGCTGATGTGTCTTGTCATGTGTATTCTATTTTTTCTTTTTCTTTTTTCAATAATCCTTTTAAAAAAATATTAAAAATTAAAAATCAAATTAAAAAACCCTAGCGTCCTTGGCAAGTGGACTCACGTCGTTCTCAATTCTTCCTTCTGTCTCCATTCCTCCATTGTTGCTGCACTTTGATAAGAGTATCACTAGAACGTGGCTGAGAGTTGAAGTCCCCTCAATTACCGTATTCTCTACTCTACTTCTCTCATTCTCTATTCTACTTCTCTACTATGCTTTTCTCAATAAGAATAAAATTTGCAGTCCTGGGCAATTGGGTGGGTTGAAGAATGGAGAGGTTCACTTGTCTATTCTTCTCCAAAAGTCTGTCTGACAGAGAGGTTGAAGATTGAGGTACATACCCAATGTTTAGTGTAATTTTGTTGTACAAATTGTTGTACAAGTTCTTAGTTTTTGTTTCTTGAATATGCAGTTTGTTGTAAAAATTGATTAGTGTAATTAGTTGGGTCTAGCTAGCATGTAGTTCGTGGGTACTGGGTACTATAATGTCAATTGTATGTGTATTACTGCATATGTATTACAGGAAGTTTATATTAATATTTGGAATTATTTAGGATGGAAGAATCTTCAAGAAGCCATTCAAATTTGGAGATGAGTGAAGAAAATGATGAGGTTGAGATTGGTGAGACTGGACTGGAAAATACAATGAGCCCAGAAGAAACAACACAAGAACCTAAGGTAAATATGATTTTTAACACAGCTGATGAGGAGCTTGATTATTATAAAAAAAAATATGCAAATCAAGTAGGTTTCCCAATGAAGAAGAGATCATCGAAGAAAGGAGATTGTGGGGAGTTGAAATATGTGACTTTATCATGTTCTTGATCAGGGATCCCACAAAGTACTGCAAGCAATGTCCTAAAGCCATATCCAAGCATAAAATGCAATCGCAAGGCTCAATTTAGGGCAAGTATATGCTTGGATGGAAGGTGGAAAGTGAACTCTGTCAAACTTGATCATAATCATGGATTGAATCTGGACAATGCTCGATATTTTAGAATGAATCGTGCAATAAGTTCATAAATGAAAAGGAAGATTGAAGTGAATGATAGAGCTTGAATAAGAGTAAATAAGAATTATAATTCAATAGTAGTTGAAGCCGGAGGGCATGAGAATATGTCATTCATGGAAAAGGATTGTAGAAATTACATTAACAAAGTTAGAAGATTACAGCTTGGGGAAGGAGATGCAACTGCAATTCAGAAGTATTTCTTGAAGATGCAAGCTGAAAATGCAAATTTCTTTTATGCAATTGATCTAGATGAAAGTGGTCGGTTACGAAATGTGTTTTGGGCAGATTCCAGGATAGGGCAACATATGAGGAATTTGGTGATGCCATTACATTTGACACAACAAACTTGACAAATAAGTAGGACATGCCATTTGCTTCATTTGTAGGTGTTAATCATCATGAGCATTCAATTTTGCTTGGATGTGGATTGATTTCAAGTGAAGATACTAAGACATTTGTTTGGCTATTTAAAGTGTGGCTGGCATGCATGTCTGAGCATGCTCCATGTGGGATAATTACTGATCAAGATAAGGCCATGAAAAATGCTATTAAGATTGTCTTTCCTAACACTAGGCATCGTTGGTGCTTATGACATATAATGAAGAAGCTTCATGAAAAGCTTAAGAGTTATAAACACTATGAATCTATTAAATTTGACTTGGAGCACATTGTGTATGATTAATTGACCAATATTGAGTTTGAAGATCGTTGGAAAGAGATGATTGAGAAGTATGAGTTACAGAGTAATGATTGGTTACGAGGCCTATATGATGAAAGACGTCGTTAGGTGCCAAGCTTTGTGAAAGGAAGTTTTTGGGCGGGCATGTCTACCACACAACGAAGTGAGAGTATGAATGAATTTTTTGATGACCATGTAAATTCTAAGACTACCTTGAAGCAATTTGTGTAACAATATGAAAATACATTGATGACTAAGGTAGAAAAAGAGAACCAAGCATATTAGAAGTCTTCCTCTGCAGATATCCAATGTAGCACCCATTATTTTATGGAGAAACAAGCTAAAGGTGTTTACACTATTGCAAAATTCAAGGAGTTCCAAGATGAATTAACAGGTAAAATGTATTGTGAGGTAGTTGATACCAAGGAAGATGGTGCGTTTTTAAAGTATTAGATATCTGAAGATATGATAATTGCGGGGAACAAAAAGAGTGTAAACTTTACAGTTATATTCCATGAATTTGACAGTTAAGTTAAGTGCAATTGTTCCAAGTTTGAGTTTAGGGGAATATTATGCAGACATGCCATTTATGTCTTGATTAAGCATAAGATGGATTTAATTCCAGATAAATACATCTCGCGAAGATGGAGGAAAGATGTGACAAGACGTCACACAAAGATTAAAATTAGCAATAATGAGTCAAATGTCACACTTGAAGCACATCAGTGTGATAAGATGCATAAGACTTTTGATGAGATTAAGGAGTTGGCAACTGATTCTGAAGAAAAGTGTGTGATTGATGGCTTGGATGCAAAAACTAAAGAAGCATTGTCTAACCATGACAACGTTTGTGGGAGTACTCAACCAACTCCCAAGTCACCAACTGGTAGGAGCTTTGACAATTGTGTTAATGAAATTTCAAATTCGAAGAAGATACTTACCCCGTTAGCAGTCAGAAGCAAAGGTTGACCACCATTTAAAAGGAAGCAATCTAAAATGGAACAAATTGTTAGAAAGAGAAAAGAAGGAGAAAAGAAGAGCACATCTCAAGAAAAAAAAATACTAATAAAAGAAAAGGAATGAAGGTATGCAAATAAAATAGCTATAGCTTTTTTTTTTTTTTTAACTATTACTTATTTTGTTATGTTAAGTGAGTAAAATATTCATGTTGTACATGTGTTGTATTTGTATATTTTTTAGGAGTTCCAAATGGTAGAAAGTGATGTTCCACCCACTGACAAAATTAGTTGTGATATAGTTGGAACACAAGAGAGTATTCTTTTAACTGTAAGAATATTTAGTTGTGATTCCCATTCTTTATCTTGGCTTTAATACATATGTATTTTTATAATGAGATACTTGGTTTTTTTGTACTTCAGGATTCTCAAAATGCATGACATAGTCATGTTGGTATGGATGATGATCAATACCATACATTTCCGATTCAAAATGTGAGTTGTGAAAAGATTCATATGATGTTGTTCTATTACTTTTGTATTTAATTGTTTGATTTTTAAATTAGTGAAGTATTTGAAATTATTTGGTTACTGGATTTGTGTATGTTTTGTGTAGAATAATATGACATTGTTCATGGGGTTTGCTCAAGCAGATCGTCCACATCACTTGAATGGAGAGTATATGATAGAAAGCACACGACACTCTGTTGTTTACTCTACATCTGCATCATACTCATAGTCTCCACTATCCAAACTAGACCACTGAATAGATGCTTGAATCCTAACTCCATTACAAATTTCAATCTCACTATAGTATAACACAATAACCTTATTGGATGGTATGTGACCAACCATTTCAACCACTGTAGCATCTGATGTAACAAGCTCTAGTCCACCCTCAACATTTCTACACATAATTTCCAAACTTTGCTCAATTGGAGAAATGTCAACATCATACCCAAGACTTCTCCCAATTTTCATTAACAAGGACAAAAAATCCTCTACAATATTGTCCAAATAACAGACCTTACTCTTTATATAAACCTCATGTTCAAACCAGCCCCCATGATGTAATTCTAGAGTGCATATTCCATCGGTAGCTGCAAAATTGAAGCAACAATATGTTAATTTAAAGTCATAGTTTTGTTGTTAATGCTAAAGACAACAATTACTGAGTTGGGTGTGAAGCAGACAACCAAGGGACTACAGACATTTAAAAAAAACCCCATATTCTGCAATCAATGTAGCAAACGCCAAATCCACATTCAAGAAAATGATTCCTTTACCCTTACTTTAAACATAAAACAACCAAAAAGCCAAACACAAACACAGAAAAAGGAATCTTTTACACATAAAGAAACCACACTTCCAGACAATGACAACTCATCCATTTCTAAACAAAAATAATATAAAATGCATTACAGAAGCCCTTACAGTATTTGGGAGTCTTTCCACCTAAACGAAATTCGAACTCCATTATTAGCAAGTAGTGAATTTCCCAAAATCCCCAAAATCAAACCCTAACCCAAACTCCCAAATTCGAACTTCAAAGCGACTTGCACACTACTAAAGCATTGACCAATTCAGCAACTCACATAAGAATCCCTTTTAGTCCATGGTAATCGCCTAAAATGAGAGAAATATAGACCAAACTGTAGGTATTTTGCTTATAAACGATAGAGCTTCTCAAAAAGTCGCTTATACACTTCAAAACTCAGTCACGTGGCCATCGCATAATCAGAAGTGACGGAATCTCTCACGAATGGACCATTTTGATATAAAATAAAGAGTTTAAGAACGGTTCAAATGAAAATTTTAGTTGGTGGACCAAAATGATACTAGAGCAATAGTTGGAGGACCATTTCGGTCATTAACCCTATATTAAAATTTATAAATCGTTGCATTACATGGCTTACTCTTTGAGTATAGTTACATATCACCATTATAGTAAACAAATTTTAAATAGTCACCTCCCACCATTATGCTTTTTGAAGCTGATTCGCCCTTTGAGTATAAAGCAATTTGATCTCCCTTGAGTCTATAATAAGCCAACATAGAGTTGGGAGGTATCTTGGGGACGTTGACAATTATTATGTCAGAAGTCGTGTGCAAAGATGGTTCCATTTTCCTATGATGCTGGACTTTTTTTAATTTTTTTTTAGGCGGCAAGTCCACTATTACGTTGTGTAGTGGATGGCAAAGATGTTGTTACCATCATCTTTGATGGCCTAGTTGCCTTTCTCATTCTACTTTTCCCACAATACCAATAATGGAGAAGAATAAGGTGATGTATGCTTGAATTTGTGGAGGGTTTTAGGGCTGATGGAGGGAATTTCAAAAACTTTTCGCACCTTTTCAACTCCTACCGAAATGGAGAAGAAGAAGGTGGACGATGTACTAAGTTGCAACTCATAACAGAAGCTCACACCATATTGAGCTGCAAATGCACCTGATGCCCTCATATATTGCAACATGTAACCCAAAATCTTATTCATCATAGCTTTATTGCGAGGCAGGGGTTCAAGAAAGCTTAAGATTGATCATACTACCCCAAGGAGGAGGCTGGAGTTCAAGTAAACTCAAGATTGACCACAGCGGAGGAAGGGGTTTAAGAAAGCTCGGGATTGGCAGCAACAATAGTGTATGTAGATCACGATGTGCAACATCTCCTCTCAAGATGTTGCAAAGTTGAGGTTTTCGTATTGTAGATGAAGTCCTTGTATTTTTTTTTTCTTAGGGTTAAACTAGAGTTGTTTTTGGTTATGGGTACATCTCATATGTACATCATCTCACCTTGTGATGATGTACATCTGAGATGTACTTGGAGTCGGATGTACTTAAAGTCCACTTTTTTTTTATTTTGTTTCTCTTATTTTTTATACTCAGATTTTGTGGTTGAATGAAATTTCATATATTTAGCTACCCTTCTCCCCCCCTCCCCCCTCCCCCCTTTCCAAAATGACTCTTTAATATGTTCATTAGCAATGCAAGCCCCAAATTTCCATTTCAACTATGTGAAATAATTTTTAAGAAAGAAATTCATTTTTCCTATTAAGTTGGGTAGTGCAAGTGCAGCCAATATCTTGTGCCTCTGTTTTGATTTTTTTTTCTTTCTTTTTTTTCTTGTTTATTTTCTTTTTCTTCTTCTCTCTCTCAAAAAGCCACATAACTTTAAAAAAATATATAAAAAGTGAATATGTACTAAATTTTAATGAGGTTCAGCTGCCATGTTTATTTCTTTGCATATAACTACATACCGTATTTACATTATGTCATTGAATGCCATAACTTTCCTTATTTAAAATCATAAAAACCCCATAATCCTATCCATTTGGTTGTTGAGAAGCATTCCATGGAAATATTAGCGAAAATTATTGGAAATCAATTCTAGGCCTAGTGTAGCCACTTTTTCAAAAACATAACGGATGTCTAGTTGTGCCAGCTACAAAAGGAAACATACTAAATGTATATTAGATAGCAAAGTAGACAAATAAACGATAGGATAAATAAAGGTTGCGAGTAAGGAAATCGAGTTCACACAATTAATTGAACTTGTTTTTCCCTAGTGAATCGGTCCATACATGCAAATAGGTTGTCCTAAATAACCACCACCCTTGATGACAATCGTACCACAATCAAGAACCACTGATTGTGCATTGAAAAGTACTTTAAAAGAAAGCCTGTCAAGAGGTTATGGTCATTGTTTGAGTCTGGTCGGCCGAAAAGAGGGAAAGAGGACATAAAAGTTCACAATTTTGTAGAGGGAAATTAAATATCTAAACACTATGACAAACCCTTTTGATGTCAATTGGGAAATCTTCCATAAGTAGTTGTTTATCATTGAAAAACATAACGAATTGCTACAAGGAACCTAGTGACATTGATTGAAGGAAAACATTTAACCAGACATGGTAATGTACTTTATATTCATAATAGCAATTGAAAGAAAACATTGAACCAGGTAGGGTAATGTACCAAATGGTACGTGGGGAAGAACCAACAAGAATTCACAACAATTTGAAATTAGTTGTTTCATATTTCTGCATTAAAAAAATATATAAAAAAACTACAACTAGAAGTAAGGCCTTGTTTGGTGGACTCAACTAGATTGGTTAGAATTAAACGTTGAATGTTGGACTCAGTTGACTTGGCTTAGATTTTTATTATTATTTATTTCTCATTACTGTAGGGGACTTTTTCTTCCGGTAGCTGTAAATAGGCTGGGCTGCCGTAAAGGGCAGACTGATAAAATTGTCCCCTTTGTCTGAGTTTGAAAGTCAAGCCCCAAAATGCTTCGAAAGGGCAGCAGAGCCTTAGGAAGTATTTTGGTTACCTTCACCAACCAAAACAACAGCAACTTACAAGTGATTTCTTGCTGCTTACAGATAAACTTTTGAGCTTGGCATGAGAGGCATGTGGCATGGGAGCAAAATCAACATGAGTTTAGCGCTAAGGCCATCTCCAGGCATATGGCTAAATGTAGTCCAGGGCTGAAAATTTAGCCCCCTAAAATATTAATTTTTTAAAGAATAGTGCAGGACTAAATTTTTCCATCTCCAGCCATGCAGGGCTATATCTTAGGGTCTTTCATATTTTATTATTTTGAGAAAGGAAAGTAGGGAGTGCTTTAATGGTTGGTGATTGAAAAGCACATGGTGGGGCCCACTATGAATTTGGTCTAGGTCAAAGCTAGGCTACATTTGGCCCGGTTGGAGGGCTAAAAGGCCAAATGTGGCCCTTCAAATTTGGCCAAAATTTTATTTAGCCTATGGCTGGAGATGGGTTTTGCATTATTTTAGGGCTATATTTGGGATATAGCCCATGGCTAGAGATGGCCTAAGGGGAAATTTAGGCTTTCTTGGGGGAAAAAGGAAGTATTAAGGTAAGAAAGGGGAGGTTTGTAGGAGATTTGGCTAAGAAGAGAGAAATAAAGAATAATGTTCTTCCGGCAACTTAACAGATATTCTGTCTGCCAGAAGATGAAAATGGAGAAGAAGGGTGAATAGTGCATGAGATTTCTGGATTTTTGCAGATAAGGGAGGAAGCTTGCTCTCTGAATCTGAGTTGAGTTCGTTGGGTAAAAGAGGCCTCATTTTATAGCTGCTGGAAACTATCCTTTCCCAAGAAACGGTTTCTTCCCAACTTGGCCAAGCTTTTTCTTCCTTTCTCCTCTCCTCCCTTGACTTTTTCTATCTTGGTGAAATTTCCTTTATTTATTTGCACAAAATCAGCAATTTTGGGACCTCAAGGCCCTTTTCCCGCAGCTGTTCCAATAGGAGACTCCATTCTTAGCTATTTTTCTTCTTCTTTCCTTTCTCCTTCCCTGGCTAGATATGATGAAGGAAAGCAAATGGATGTACATGCTTGTTTGAAGGGTGTTTCTCCTCCCGACAACTTGCGTGCTAATATCCCTTGGTTCCTTGAATATTTTTTGCCTTGCAACTTGCTCCCCCATGTGCTGGAACTTCCCAGCAACTTTGTTCAATGAACCTTCAAACCTCCCCTTAGTGGCTTTTGTTCCTCTAGCTAGGTGCTGGGGCCTTTTTAGCTTATTATGGTAATTGTATGGGCCAAGGTGGTTTATTAAGCAAGTGGGCTATTTTTATTTAAACGTTGGGCTTTTGGGTTGAGTCAATAGACTATTTTGATTGGGCTATTTTTTGTTGGGTTATTTTCCCTTTTGTGCTCACCCATATGTTTGGGCCTAAGAAATGAACTTGAGTCCCGAGACTTCCATTTCTAGGCCCATTAATGGGCCTCATGTCGATTTATTACCATTCATACCACAACTCACTCAAGCAAGCGCCGGGCATTTAAGTGGCTTGGGCCCACTTAGGTTTGTAGCGTGGTTGGGTGCGAAATAACGATTTCGTGCTTGGCATGGCATGTCGCTTGACATGTTTTAATTTTATCGTCATTGGGATGGGCTGCAATGTTTAATTTCGGCATGGGCTTGTAAAGCCAGTATATTTTATCTCAATTCCTAACATGACGAATTATTTATTTAGCATGGCACGTGAATTGCAACTCGCATGTGGCAGGTCTTCGTGTACTCCACTTTGTGTCTTTTCTTAATAAAGTGTCGTTTTGAGCCAATAATTTATTCGGGCCTAACCATGGATTTTTTTGGGTCTCAACAATTACAAAGCAATGTTGGGGTAGAGGAGAATCAAACCTAGAACGTAGGATGCAAGGGTAAAGGCTCTTAACCACTTGAGTTAGAAGCCTCTGGCTTTGGCTCTAAGTCCTATCAGCTGCTTCGTACCTTTACAGAGCAAACAAGGTAGCAATACCTTGTAATGTGCAAAGGACTAGGTATTACACTGTGTTGAATCGCCCCCGAATTTGTCATCCTCCTAATGGTTGGCTGGGCCATTTGGAAAGCACCAAATGGGTTTTTGAGAAGATCCAACCTTAAGCTATTATCTATGGTACCACGTTACGATTCCATGAGTTTTTCTTGGTGAACGATTCTAAGAAGGATGTGGGTGACAAAGTGGCTACAGTTCAAACTTGGTGTTGACCCGTTGATTGATTGGATTCGTGACTCAAGGGTCAGTTTTGTGGCGGGAAGATCGCTCAAATATGACAATGTTTTTTCGGTTTATTGGTTGAGTCTTTTGCAAATATTAGTCTCTTTATTTGGAGCGCCGAGAAGTGAGTATTTTTGGTTAATATTTTTAAAGTGAGTATTTTTGTGACTAAGTTTTGTGTTTAATGAGCATGTAAGAGCATCTCCAACATCCTCTTCAATAACTTTGAAATTCTAAAATAGGTGAGTCACATTAGAAAAACTCTCTCCAACTGCCTCTTCAATCTCAGTCATCAAATCTGCAATCTATTTCTTTATCTTCAGGACTGGTAAGTCAACTTAGGTCATTCAAACATTTAATTTTACTTTGTAAAAACAAAACTACTTTGAAAATGTTAAAAACATGCATTTTTTATTTTCATATATACTAGCCTCTTCGCACACATTTCCGTGCTTGCGAGAGGCATTTTTTTTAAAAAATTAAATTTATTTTAGAATTAAAAAAATATAATGGGTAGTTGTGTTCTATAAAAATAGGATTCATTATCTGATTTTCTTTTAATTTAAATTTTTTATAATATGAAAAAGTGTGAATTTATCATATTATCCTCATTTAATTAATAATTTTAATTCTTAATGTTTGAATTAGCAAATGGCATTTTCTGGTATTTTGAATGTTTCACCATTCTTTGCCTTTTGCTATATATATATATATATATATATATATCAGTCCCCTTCTATTGAGGAATCCCTCAAATAATTTTATTTGAGGAACGCCCTTTAGGGTACCCTACGAATTTATTTTCAACGATCCAAACCATCTATTTTTTAAGTCTATATTGATAGATCATCCTTACAAAAAATTAGACAAATCGGAAACCGTTTCGACATCCAATTGTGTCATACAAAATCAATGAACATGGTACTTCAAGAAAGTACTAAAATTTCAATAACTCAATTGAGTGGTCAAATGATATTGGATTCAAGTAATTTTTTGTAGAGATGATCTTTGAATGAGTATCTACAAAATAGACGGTTTGGATTAGTGAAATACAATTCAGAGTAGGCCCTACAAGGGGTGTCCCTTAAATAAGCTTATTTGAGGGATCTATCAATAAAAGCTCTCTGTATATATATAATATATATACACACAGACATTTTTCATATGTTTTCATATGTTTTCATTCTATTCCATGATATTGCATTAATTGAATTGAAAAGTTTATTGGAGCAAAAATTATTCGAGTGGCAAATAAGGCTTTTTAAATTTCCATATAGGTCAACAAACTTCAATTTGAGGAATTTTATTTGCTACTAATGTTGGAGATGCTCTAAAGCAAATTTCCCATAATTTTTAATCTTATTTTTAATTTGTTGGATAATGAAGCAAACTTTAGGCTGTCCAGACCCAATCAGAATTGATGGGCTTCAATGGCAGGGCCTGGATTAGCAGTACGGAACAATTGGCGCGTCGGCGTTAGTGGCCCAAACCGCTCAATACAAACAACTCCCAGAAAAATCACAAAGCCGAAAGAAAAAAAATTCAGAAAAAAGTGGTGATTGAGAGAGTGAGAAGTGATCAGTATCTTGTTCAATCCTATCTATTAAAATTGCAGCATTTGAACTAAGTTTTCCCCGAGAATGGCCACAAAATTGCAGATATTTACAGGATTCCCCATGGCATCAACGCCTGCCTCTTCGTTCCAAGCCTCTTCTTCAATCTCCTACAGTCTCGCTATGGTCAGAAAACCTCTCACCACTTCCTTCTTTAATGGTGGAGGTTTGTGATTTTTGCTTGACTCACTGTTTTAGTTACTGGGTATCCCTTAGATTTTCAATTGGTATTGAATTTCTATCGTGCGTTATGTATCTGGGTCGTTATTTGATGTGTGTTTGTGTGTATTTTCCAACTTCATTTCAGCAGTATGAAAAAAAAAGGGGTAAAATTTGTTGAATGTTATGGAACTTGTTAATTGGTTGGCAATCCAAATAGTTGCTTTAAGCTTAGTGGAGTTGATTTTCTTTCCTTCTAAGGCTTTCAGTGCGAATGGAGAAGCATTTCACAGGGAATTGAGTCTCTCTGGATACCTTCGTCTATTAATGGGCAAATGAGGAGAGAATTAGATGTTGGGAAGATAATTGGGTTGGGAATGTCCTTTGTGTATTTTTGTTTCGGAGTCTTTGTAGATTTTCTTCTTCTCATAATGTGTCAGTTGCCTCTTTATCAGTTCATCCTCTTACTCCTTGGGTTGCGAAAGCATTACCTTGAACTAGTTTAGAAACTCCCATTTGAGACAATATTCATATGCAACAATAATATAAGTATGCAGTGGAGTAGCTGATCTAGATAAGGCTAAATGAGCATTGCCTGTGTTCGTTGCCTTCTTTGATTGACTTGACCATTTTACTAGCAGCGCTACTGTAATGGGAAACATTTGAAACATGGGTTACTTAACAAATAATACCCAATAATCAGGAACTAGCCTCAACCCTGCTGTTTTTAGCTTAAAGATTTCATGTAAATCTAAATATATTTTTAATTTATGGTTAAGTTCAAGGAAGATGTACCTATATTCATCATCTTATAAAAGAAATTGTTATTTTCAGAATCAAAGCAGAAGGATTTAAACTTCTATCTTTTCTAAAAGGATCGACAGCTCTATAAAAGACATCTTATTGTGTGTCAGATAGCATAAGTAACAAATATATGCAACAGTGAACCAAAATTTTTCTGCTCATGCAAATTTATGAATGAAACAAGGCTAGCTTTCATTTGAAAAGAAAGATTTGCTTCTTTTGGTTTGACTCACCAAATAACCGCGCCCCCCACCCCCCCTCCCTCTTTCAAACATAAATCAACTCACATCCCCTCCCCCACCAAATCACTTACAAATAGTAATATTATGCCTTACAATTATTTTTCTTTCAGTGGGGCCTCTAAAAGTTGAAGTGATTAGGGTTGCTCCTTCCAATCGACCACATTATTCTAGGCAGCGTGGAGGTGCCCTTGGTGCCCGTATGAACCTATTTGACAGGTTTGCTAGAGTTGTCAAGGTGATATGTGTTATCAGTCTTTACTATTCACATAATAATAATAATGTGATTGTATTATTATAACTAATTGTACCTTTTCTTGCACGAATTTTACTAATTGCAGTCATATGCAAATGCACTCCTAAGTACTTTTGAAGATCCTGAGAAAATCTTGGAGCAAGCAGTTCTTGAAATGAATGATGACTTGACAAAGATGCGTCACAGCCACAGCACAAGTAAGTTCCCTTTATGTTCCCTTTTTTTTTTTGGAAATTCTCAGAATCTCCTTGTTTTTCTTGTTTTCTATGGTATTGTATAATTTCCTCATGTTCTTTGGATTTTATTACATTTGCTTTTATCTCTTTTAGTTTCATTTTTTCTTTGTTTTCATAACTGACACAAACTGAAACTGTAAGCAAATCATTCATGAACGGTTATTGTGGTGTGCTCTAGATATGCTTAGATATCTTATGATTTTCTCCTTTATGCATTGCCAGTGTTTAATCTTTTAACTGATTTATGTCCAAAAAAAAAATCTTTTAACTGATTGATTGTATCCATGTTCATCTAGAGTTGATTACACGTATTCTCTCTGTGTGAAGGTGTTGGCATCTCAAAAGCGATTGGAAAATAAGTACAAAGCTGCTGAACAAGCTTCTGAGGACTGGTAATGTAGATGGGGTTGATATCTCATATTCGTAAGTATAGCGGTGAATAATTTTTAAAAATATGGTCCATGTTTGGAATAGGTACCGCAAAGCACAATTAGCTCTTCAAAAAGGAGAGGAGGATCTTGCACGTGAAGCTCTGAAGAGGCGTAAATCTTTCGCTGTAAGTCTAATTTGTTATATAAATTTATTATGCTTCGCTTATTTTCATTTGTATTTTTTTATTTTGAGAAATGCGTGTCATTCAACTGTCTTATTGAGCCGAACTTGCATTTGGAATGTTCAGGAAAATTAAGCTCAAGTCAACAGTTCAAAATTTCTAATTGAATTTATAGACATGGATCTAATGTTCCCTTGTTTCTTCGCAACCTAGTTTCTGCTTCATTGCCAGGCTGCCAAAGTGTTTATTGTAAAATTAATTGTTCTGTTGTTGTTTCCAGGATAATGCTAATACTTTGAAAGCTCAACTTGATCAACAAAAAGGTGTTGTTGATAATCTTGTGTCTAATACACGGGTAAGTGAATTTATATCTTTTTCCCCTAATTTACTTCTTCAATGAGTAGCTTTACACACACACACACACACACACATATATATACATACACATATATATACACCTTGTGGGATCCACTACGAAGTTTACATCAATGATTTGAACAGTGTATTTTTAAAGTCTTCATTCAAAGATCATCCTTGCAAAAAATTAGACAAACTGTAAACCGTTAAAACCTAGTTGTGGCTAACAAAACTGACAAACTCGTTTCAAGAAAACGCTAAAATGACAACCATTCAAGTGAGTGGTTAAATAGTTTCCGATTTGAGTATTTTTTGCAGAGATGTTCTTTCAGGGAATACATAAAAAATAGACTGTTCAGATTATTAAAAGACAATGCAGAGTGGGCTTTACAAGGGTTATTTGAGGGGTCCCTCTATTAATTAATCTGTATATATACATCCATCTATATTGTGAAAGGGTTTGTGTGACTCACATGCATTTTTGTGAAAATAAAGTGTAGAACTAGCATATGTGTTTCCATTGCTTTTGCATGTTATGACGGTAAACTTTAGAATCTGTTGCCATGCCAGTTTTAGTTTGAAGCTTTAAAAGCCAAATTTTCTATAGCAGTTATAAAGAATATGATTTTACTAGTACGTATATTTTTGGCTGAATCAAATTGCTATATTGTATGCTGTGTCAAAAGTAGTGTTATGAACTCACGAGTTACAGATCTAGGAATAATCAGAAAGAGTTCTATGAGAGAAGCTGTGGTTTGAAATTATATCATAAGAAGGCAATAACTCTGACAGAAAATAAAAAGATCTCTTTCTTCTGTTAATGGAAAAACTGGCCAAAAGAGCAGTTATTGAGGTTTCTTGAGCTCGGGGCTTAATTGAGTGTTATTAGTATCTAAAATAATAACTGCGCTTAGTGCTTGCTGTATTTTGCAGATTTTATCCGAAACCGACCTTGTCTCTTTTTTTCCTGGTTGCAATGGGCATTGACTCTTTTGATAAGTATAATTATGTAGATATCACCTGCATTTGTTACAACTGTATTCCATGAAATCCATTTTGTGTAGCTTTTAGAGAGCAAGATACAGGAGGCAAGGTCGAAAAAAGATACTCTTAAAGCACGTGCTCAGTCTGCAAAGTATGTTTCTACTACAGTCTCTCACTTTCCTTTTTGTTTTTTTTAACCGAGTCTGTTTGTTTCTCTTTTTTTTTTTTTTTTTTTTTTTTGTCCTTAATGTTGCTGGTGATGTTTGTTTTCTGTTGCTTCAGGACTGCAACTAAAGTGAGTGAGATGGTGGGGAATGTCAATACAAGTAGTGCTCTTTCAGCTTTTGAAAAGATGGAAGAGAAAGGTAAGCCAGCTGTCCATTATGGAAGTACTAACAAGCTCTGTTTTGCATTTCCACTTGAGGGCCAATCTCTGTTTGGCACAAGGGAACGTTCTCCATTACATATTAACTTTTAAATTAAATAATTACATTTTTTGTTTTGGGCAGTAAACAGTAAGCTCGTATTGTGTTTTGAAAAATGATTGACTACATGCCTTGTAAAAAATGCTAGTTCTTCTGGGGTCCAATAATCTATGACTGAAAACTAACTGTATATAAAAAGTGTAGAGGTAGGCTGATCAAGTGGCTATATTGTATTATAATGAATAGATGTTTGGTTGCAACATTTTTTTTAATGCTGCTTCATATATGCAAAGGCAGTTGATTGTGTCTGACACTTGGAACAGAACAATGGATGAAGTGATAAGAAAATTGTTGAATTTGCCATAAACTCCATGAGTCACATTTTAAGAAAGATGGCTAAGTATTAGAAAAAGTAGAAACATTCTACCCAAAAGTCAACCAGCATTAAGCTTAATTGATAGTGCACATCTCTGGGCTGTGTTTGACTGAAGAATGATATGAAGTCGTTCAAGTGTAAAGTCTGCTTCAAAATCCACTAAAAGAAACTTCATCACAATGTACTTTTGTCTGTGTTGAGCATTCATGTGTTCAGGCAATGGTTGCCAAGCATGTGATCAGTGAAATTTAATTCCTGGTCATTATCAGAAGTTGCAACAAAAGGTTTGTTTGTGGGGGAAAAAAAGTCATAATTTCGTTTATTTCACATCCTTCCAATTTCCTTGTTGAGCATGTCTTAGATGTATGTTTCCTGGTAAGGCTAATAGAATAGGGATGTTGTCCAGACTAAATATGCCTGATTGGATGTAAGCAAGAGAGATCGTTCATCTCTTCTTTAAAGATTGGGATGAAATAATGTTGGGTGATGCTGTGAACACCTGGCTAATATTGGAACCAGAAACAAAAAAAAAAAGGCATGCCTGATACTTGTTTGTAATTATAATTTTCCTCTGATCTTGGCCTTTGTTTATTCTTTCACCACCCATACTGCTATGTTAAAATGCTAGAATGTTTTCCGAATTGCTAAGCAGTGGATATGCAAATGAAATCATTCTTAGCTATCAGTCTTTTGATTCAGTTAATTAAATAAATAAAAGGGACAATGATAACTGGCTAGCTTGGCTTGGGATTATCATTGTGATTGTTTACTGTATATGACTTATGTTGCAAAAAATTGATCGACTTTTAATCACATTGTTTTGTGTGCATTACATGTTTGATTGTTTATCATTGATTGAAGGAAACCCAAACTTAATAAATTAGACGGACGCTATATGTATATACACACATTATATTCATATAATATTTTTATATATGTAGATATCTATATACTGTATGTATCCTAATTTTTCTATTTCCATTTCATTGAAATAGTCTTAGCAATGGAATCCCAGGCAGAAGCTATTGGCCAATTAACTACTGATGATCTAGAAGGAAAGGTAACACTTATTCTTTTCCCTTATTTATGTCCCATTTCATATTAGATCCTATGTGTCTATGATCTTTGGATTGATAAGAACAGGGGAGGGTGGGAAGATAAAACAACCTTCTATATTGGAAATTATGATGTGGAAACAAGTCATAATAAAGCTCAGTAATCTGCTGAAAGTAGTGGCAAAATTCCAGACATATTAGTTAAGCATAATTTTGTCACTGATGTAAATATATACTTAAGTAATATGCGTATTACATATTTATACACAAAGTTTAGACATTGTCTATCAATAGTTTCAAACCATTTTCCAAGTTGCCATCACCATATAAGTATCAATCTGTTTCGCTTGCCTTTGATGGTTTCTCTTCTGAAACTGGATTTCTTACCATTTCCAAACCTACATCAAAATTGCAGTTTGCGTTGCTAGAGAGCTCTTCAGTTGATGATGATCTTGCAAACTTGAAGAAAGAACTATCTGGTAGTTCAAAGGTATGCCTTATCATGCAGGACAACTATAATACACACACACACACACACACACATATGTATTTATATATGTATATTAATGCAACCAATTGTATAATGATATAGCTCCTGTGAACTTATGTTCTTATATTAAAGTTTTTGCCCATAATTTTTGTACTTATTAGCTGTCTAATTTTCTTATAATTCCATCATGCTTTTTTTTCGGTTGAGCAAAGGAACATTAAGAGAAATTATGGAAGTCTAAATATCTGGTTTGTAATGGTTTTCCTTTCCTCTTTTCTGTTGTTTTGTACGGAGATGGATAAGCACTGTACAATTAGAACTTAAAAATTCTTATGGCTCGAAATTATGGAAGTCTAAATATCCTCTTCCGCTTGTTTCTATTCATTGCTCCCTTTGTTCAAAAATTAAAAATGTAATTAGCATCCCAACATTTTTTTCTTAATGGTTTCTCAACAACCAGGTTCTTGACTTTTTTCCTCTTCTTTATTCCTCCAAACAGAAAGGAGAGCTCCCACCTGGAAGAACTGCTGCTCCGAGTTCGAACAAGGCATATCCATTTCGAGATTCTGAAATTGAGATGGAGCTTAATGAATTGAGAAGAAAAGCCAAGGACTTCTGAGTTTTGCTTTTCAGGCACAAATATTGCAATTCTTTTTAGGCAAATATGAAGAAGTTTTCATTTTGAGAACTGGTTAGCATTTGTATAGCAGAAAGGCCAACAGATTAACGTTGTATAGCTAGAGCCCAGACTCGAATCGAAGTTGCTTCTTTGTGATTGTAGGCACCCTTTTCATGCTCTTATTGTAATTCACATCTGCTGCAGCAAAGCCAGTTTCTGGATTATGTACGAGCACCTACCTGTTAGTACGTTTAGAATGATTTCTGTCTTTTCTTTTATCCTTACAGCACATTCCATGAAATCAGTATTTCTGTCATTCTAAGTTAGTTGCTTTGAAGTTTATCAAAACTCTCCCGTTTAGGGCGTGCGATAACTCGTCCACGTGTTGTAATATAAGGAGATATTTAATGATCTTATACCTGAAATTGTGGAAATTTCCCTCACCTTGACTAAAAAGAGTTGTAGTTTGGGATTATAGCTAAAAGCCTCTAAAGCACAAACTTGTTTATATACATTCCGTGCTCAAAATGACAAATACATAGTCAATCTGCATCCAACAATTTAACTTATTCTAGTCAGCATTCTATTACAATCATAGTATGAAATATTGATAATATCGACGAAATATCAGGTTTTTTTGAATCACGGATATTTCAAAACATATCCATGTACATATCGTATAAATATCGACAATATCGATGATAATATCGGAAAATATTAATGTCGATAATTTCGCTCACACTTCAGCAATATTTTGTCAAAATATCGGTGTAATATCGCTAAAATATCAAAAATATCGAAAGAAAAAAAAAAAAAAAAAAAAAAGAAGAAGAAAAAAAAAGGGAAAAAAAGGGAGGGAAAAAAACACAAAGGGGATTTGAACCCCTCCCATTTTACTCATCCAACACCTTAACCACCATATATAACTTATGTTTTAGTAATAATATGTTAAAATATTTATATTTATATGGGTGACATGTTAACAATTACATGCAAAACTATTTTGGGGATTTATCATTTGATGAATACTCTTCACAATACATACTCTACACATAGAGATGATGAAGATAGTGAAAAATTTGAACCTCATAAGAACTCTATGTGGTACTAAGTCACTCATGTATCTTACCATGCAACGTATAAATATTGTAGTAAATCATTATATATAAATGATTATGGTGTGTTTAATCTTTTTTTCATTAATTACTACATATTTTCTACATTCATAGTATTTGCCAACTCGCTGTATAATCAATTTAAATCAGTTAAATCCATCATGTAATGCATTTCCTTCTAATTTTTTTTTGATAAACTAATAGATAGTTGACTAAATAAACATTATCCAAAGTTTCAATCAAAATTTCCAAGTTTTTCTTACAATTTTCATGGTTTTTATTCAAATTTTATCGATATCGATAATATCCCGATATTTCCATCGAAATTTCCATATTTTTGGACTACCAATATTTCCGATATCATTGATATTTTAGACCATGATTACAACACCAAACGACATTTTATTACTGGACAACCTTACAAGTGTAAACCCAATTAACATGTTTACAAGTTAGTTGGAAGAATATTATGCTCATTTTTTAGCAGCTGGTAGAATCTGGCTGGCTTCCTTTAAAATAATTTCAAATCTTTCTTGCTTGGTCCATTCAAAGCCAAGAACCAGATTGGAGGAACAGTCAATTCAAACTTTCCAAGTTTGGACTGAATTAATAACCAAATCTCTAAATAAAATGCAAAAACAAAATAATCAAATCAGCAAAACTATTCTATTTTCTTCTTTTCTTCTTACGTCTGGACCAAAACTAGTTTTTGCCCACAAGTTTGTGGCATGAACAAGGACAAATAAGAGCATTTGACGTACAGAACAATGATATCAGATTCGAATCCCGATCACACCTCCTCCTTCTCACTTCCAAATTTTGACAAAAAAGGAAAAAAAACAAAAGAACAAGGACAAATAAGTAAATTCAATAAAATGTTTAAATATTCAGATTGGTTGACAAATTCAAACGTTAGAACCCACATCAGATTTTGGTGTGCCACGACCGATTTTGTCAAAACTCCTTGGTCAACACGTAAACCCTACACGTCCAACCAAAAACTCCACCAGTCCAACAACAAGAACACTTTTAATTAAAATAGTATACAAACTCTCACAATATAAATAGGTGAACACATTTGAAGCTTTTCACATCATCTTTCCATCCAGCACCCAAAAGCTCCTCTCAAAAAAGCACTGCTAGATCAAGCACTAGTAGTAGTCTTCGTAACCTCCACAAGAACACCCTAACTCCTCATTTTCCATTTCCAATTTTATCTACTTTTTATTTTAAGAGAAACTTTGAAAAATGAATTTCCCCAAGATGAGTAGCATATTGATCATCTTTATGATATCCGCGGCCATCTGGGTCGGCAGTGCTCCGGTCGAAGCAAGCAGAGTTTTACCGGAGGACTTTGCTGGTGCAAATCACTTGGAGACATTCTCCTCCTCGTCCTTGTCGTCGTCATCGGTCTACGAGAAGGCTAAGTTTACCATGGAATGCTGGCTTGAACGTCTAGCTTCAGGACCTAGCCCCAAAGGGCCTGGTCACTAGAACTTCTCTCCAGCTACAGTGGAGAAACGCCTTGTTACATCGGTTGCAAGTTGCAAGACCCAACAAGAAGCCAAAAACGATATATTCTTTTCTTCTTTTTTCTTGATTTATCATTTTTTATATATTCAGTTTTAAGGTGGTTGAGATGTAGTGTAATTTTGGCAATATAGAATCCAAGGGAATAAGTGTAAATGGAAAATAATTGGCATTCTGTTGTTGAATCACATTGTCCACTAAATATGCGATGGGTCTTATTTATTTATTTATTTATTAAAATGCGATGATAGTATAGCAGATTTCTGTGCATGGCCTCTAGTCCTACGTAACCAAAAATAATGTAGCTGTAAAAATATCCAGCAAAAAGAGAGAAAAAATATATATATATATATATATATATATATATACCTTTAAAAATATCAACAATAAATTATTTGTATAAACTTCCAAACATAAAAAAGAAAAAGAAAAAGAAAAGAACTACATATAAATAAGGAAATGACATTTTTGCTCATCACTTTAACCCACGGCATACCATTGCGCTGCAATAAAGGTTTGCAGTATGTTAGAGTCATCAAATTTGCTTGTCAATTATTAATATGTATCTAATAATAAATGAAGTTGAAAATAAATTAAATATTTTCCACATTTCTTGATAAACAAAATTTGGTAATAACAAACTTATAAATGAGCGAAACAATACTCTTAAGTTCTGTTTAGAGAAATAAGGTTCCTTTTTTTCCCCCCTTAGTTATACCCTTTTACCTTTTCTTGTTTATTTATCTATTTGGGTTTCGCCAGGTTTTTCTTTTGCTCCCTATTTTGCGTTTATTCACCTCGATTTTTTCTTTCTCTAATTCAGTTGTGGTTTTGCAACCGATGTAACAAGGCGCTAGTTGAAGAGGTGCTGCTTCTTTTGCTCCCTATCTGATTTTCTTTTGCTTTCGTAGGGTGCTGCTTTTGGTCGCTAGCAATGCTTTTCTGGTGGGCCGGTTGAAGAGGTGTCCCAGATTCCTCTTTATTTTTTAAAATTTTTGTATTTGGTTTCTTTGTGTTTGGTTGAGGCTACTAAATCTTTTTTAAGATTACGCTATTGTTTATGTCTCTCACATTTGGGTTTGGATAGTGTCCTTATTATCTTTTAACTCTTGTAGGGTACTTCTATTTTATAGGGCATCTGCTCCGACAAAAAACAAAAACAAGTTTGATGCGTAGAAAATTACTCGAAGCTAGTAAAGTCATTAGGCATATAACTAAGAGTGAGGAATTCATAAGAGACTTGTAACTCAAGTGATTAAGAATACTCATGTGTTAGAATTCTCAATCAATTATCTTGATTGTATAAAAAGAAAAAAAGAAATAAAAACAGTGAGAAATCGTGGGCTAATGATGAGGTACTACTTGTTGAGGAGGCTAAGGCCATTTTAAGAAATCTCAAATCCGCGTGATGCCAATTCCAACCGCTATTATTTCATAAGTGCCTCATACATTAACCAAACAAGCATGATTTTGTTCAAAATTTACGGCCTAATGGAAAAGCAATCAGTGTGCCATTTTTCAACTGTACAGTTTGATAGTATCTTACTTTGATTAAATAATGAAGGCTAGAATACCATCCAAGTTAACAATGTTTTGACTCCAACGAGGATGTTGCTCCAATTTTCTGGGCGCTCCGGAATTTAGAGGCGTTTCGTTTTCATTGGAAACCGAAAGTATTAATAAAGTATTCTTTAAAATTAGAGGTATCAAATGGATTAAGTCGGTCTGTGAATATAGCTCTGATATAACACAATTAGAATAAACACGACAACACATGAGAATGAAACAGGTCGTTTAGCAAATTCAATTATTCAAACTTTATACAGTCAAAAGTAGGAATTATGTATCCTGTGGTCTTCAAAACGAAATTGGCATTTGAAACATGCTTTGAAATATTGTATTTTTCGTTTGTTTATTTTCTTGTATTTTTGAGAGTTGATTTTTTTCTTTTCACACGGGGAGGCGTGGGACACTTTCCAACTAAAACTAATTATTAACATATAGATTTTGAATATTCTAAAGACAAATATTATTGCCCTCCTTATTTGTATGAACAATCAAATTTTGGGTTGAAATATTTCACTTCTAATCCTCACGCAAGTCCTATTTGGTCAACACGTTAGTCCTAAAAGGCTACCAAAAACACCAAATCGCACAGAGACAGATAAGTACAATTAAGTTGTCTTGTGTTGTGGTATCATTTTGGATTGATCTAAAGTATTGGTCCACTTTACTTCATCGTTATCGTGTCCTTGGCCGGCGGCAACACCCTGTGCTTAACCCTCGGAGCTCTTTTATCCATTTTACAAGTCATTTTAAGAAATTTTTAGGGCGTGCAAATTTGTTTTCCAACAAGCAGAACCCCGTTTTGATCCAATGTTACATATTTGACTAGAAATCAAGCCATCCACATATTCTCTTGCTCCAATCATAAGATTGACAATATGATTTGACTTAATTATTCTCGACACGGAACAGTGTTGGGCACTAGTTGCGTACTAGTAAATTCATCACATCAATATTCAAATTTTATAGGCGTTGACAAATTCAAACCACGGCATATTGAAATTATATGTGTGTGCATTATATTATATGCTGACGTGAGGATATTATCGTGGAAACCATGTATTTTTTACCAATTCTCCCTATTTTCCTCTTTGTTTATAGTGGCATTCGCATGATAATAATGTAAAGACATCTGCAGATATATATATATATATACAGAGAGTTTTAGTTGAGGGATCCCTCAAATAACTTATTTGAGGGACACCCTTGTAGGATCCACTCCGTATTGTATCTCACTAATCCAAACTGTCTATTTTTTAGATAATCATTTAAAGATCATCTCTACAAAAAATCACTTGAATTCGATATCATTTGACTACTCAATTGAGTTATTGAAATTTTAATACTTTTTTGAAGCACCATGTTCATTGATTTTGTATGACATGATTGGATGTCGAAATGGTTTCCGATTTGTCTAATTTTTTTTTGCAAGGATGATATATGAATTTAGACTTAAAAAATAGATGGTTTGGATTATTGAAAAACAATTCATAGAGAACCCGGGTGTCCCTCAAATAAAATTATTTAAGGGATTCCTAATAAAAGGGGACTATATATATATTAAGAAAAATTAGGTATTAGACATAACAATCCTTACTAAACGTAGTGTGTTCCACTCCCCCTCGGTCAACAAGTAATTAAACACCCATCTCACCAACCCTTACACCATCTCTCCCTATAAATTCTTGGTAACATTATTAATTCCACTAATTTGTATATCAATCATCCACAAGTATCTCCTAAACTTAACCTTCATCACCTTTTTCTCCACATTTACAGAGAAAATTTGAGGCCATTTATTTTCATGAAGATGAATTTCCTAAAGAATAATAGCACCATTTTGATTGTTTTGGTGATCCTCTCGGTGGCCTTTTTGAGCAATCATGGGGTTGAGGCAACAAGAGTGTTGCAAGAGGACTTTGCTCATGCTAATCACCTTCAAACACACTACCCTCCCTCTGTCTACCAAACCGCAAAGAACACCATGGCCTGTTGGCTCCAAATATTGGCTTCTGGGCCTAGCCCTAGAGGCAGTGGTCACTAGCTTTTTCAACTTGCAGACTTACAGCCTAATAACAGTACAAACCTAGCTTGTTGCTTGGTTTTTTTTTGGTTTTTTTTGAATATTTTTGGTTTGATTTTTCTCTGCTTTACTTTACATTTGAGATATATGGGAACAGTGTATAACTTTTGCTTTAAAGATTCATACGAAACAAAGGTAACTGAGGACTATATCAGACTTGTTTTTCTTGTCTTTTTTTCCAATATCTTTTGGGACTATGGTACTTATGACTTCTAATTAATTGTAACTCATGAAGGATTACATTTTTTTTCTTTGTTAATTGACTTCTTCTAACAAGTTACGACCCAAATCATGCAAAACTTTTATATATTGGGTAAAAAATTCAAACCATCATAGGACTAGCTAAGCTCTCTTGAATTTGTTTTATGCATGCGTGGTCATTTCGAAGGAGGTTCTTTTTTCAATACTTGACCTACACGGTACAAAGGTGCTGGAAAATTTGGTTTTGATAATCATCCAACGAACAATTGAAAACGATATAAATGGAGATTGAATAAAAAGCATAAACTTACACATGAACTCATACTGCTTCACTAAATTTGAGTTATATCATGGGCTGCGTGTAAGGACGAAGCCATGAATTTATGTGTAAGGGGGCCAACAAAATTCAAATAATATATTTAAAATATTTCTAATCTTTCAATCTTAGCACTTTATGAAAAAAATAACAATAAAAGGCGCAAGTCGCTCTTTCAAATCTCGAAAGGTATAACTATAAAACAATGAAAACTTTAATTTTCTTTCATATAAACATATAAAAATATATTGAATAATAAAAAAAAGGGGGAAAATTATGACTATAAATTTATCTAACCTGTAAAGAATTAAAATATTTGAAACTATAGGAGAGAACACCCAAATTTCAATTATTTGCTTCACCTGTGTGTGTTTGCGGTAGAGTGGAGACTTCTAATCCTGAGATCAAGACTGCTTAAGACTGGCTTCACATTGAATTTTATATTAAAAGCTATGATGTTCTAATCCTTCTTTAGTTGGTTGGGTAAAAGTCATTTACTTCCTATTTGGTAAAAGATACTTTAAAGGGAAATAAGCTGGTGTAATCACAAATCAGAAATAGTGTGCTGAAATAATCAGGCTACAAATTGTATTCTAATATAATCACTTGGGGACGTGAAATGACCGAAGTGCCCTCCATATAAAAGCAGATGTATCAACCCTTTAGCGCCTCTTTCTTCTCTGTTTTCGAAGTTTGGCAAAAATGGGGGAACTCTAGGTTGCGAGACATTTTGGCACTGAGCAATCCAGTTCGCAACCCATCCATAGTCACAACCCAGATGTCCTAAACTTTCGAACCCTAGTTTGACCGTAGCGAAGCCGGCGGAACGCACCGCCTCCATTGTTGACCTCCAGATCGAAGTGACTGTTGCGACTCCACGGAGAAGCGAAAGTGGCGACTTCCGGCGTCGTTGTGAACGGAGGTGAGTTCAGATATTGGTTTGGTAGTGTATGTGTATTATAAAATCGTGCATCCCCTTTTCACCACAGAAGGGCAGAAGAGCTTAAATTTTCAGTTTGAAGGCGTTATGATATGTTGAAATTCATAGTTTGTGTTATTATCTGCAGTGGGATGTATGTGGTAAACTTGAATTTTGGTTAAAATTGACGGAATGCTTGTATAATGTAGTGCAATGTGTTTGATAATGGGCAAAATAACAGCACACAGAAAAATCATATGTTAACTTTGTCTGGCCTAAAAGTAGGTTTGTTAGGGTAGTTTTAGGCTGAATGTAGATGCTAATGTGGGGAATTTATTGGCATTCTGGGTTTGTTTTGGTAAGAAGTAAAGTTTGTGTGTTTTGGTTTCCAATTTGGTAATTGAGCTTATACCACATAATATGTTCTGTATCACAACCTGAGCCTTTTGTTGAAGTTGTTTACATTTGTTGAAAACCCTTAGAGGTTAGAGGGTTCATATTGCTGCCATGGTATGTTTATGTGAGTTTGTGAATAACTTGGAACCCACAGCTATGTACAAAATCAGAGAAAAGACAGAAATGAATAAAAGTTCCTTGTTGAAGCAGCTAGAATTTGAGTTTGGAAGATTTATAAAATGATACGTGTAGTGGAATGATTGTTGTGTATGTTTTTATTTGTTTGAATGTATCTTTTTTAGTTTTATTCATTGCTGTAGTAATTATCTATGTTATTTGCAGAAATGGATATTGTTGGAATATTGGTATGCTACAATGGAAGTTGGGTTAAGAAGGATAACATTGAGAGTTACGAAGGTGGGGAGGCTAAAGGCATAATAGTGTCACGGAATGTAACGTTTTCCGACCTTGTTCAGCGCATTTATAAGATCATGGATGCAGATCCCACGAAATATATTGTCACACTGAAATATTCAGTTCCTGTATCCTCATCTGTCTGTAAGCATATAAGGGTTGAAGACAATGATGATGTTAAATATTTTGTAAAGTACAACACAGATGTTATGGCCTCTAAAGTAACCCCTTTAGTAGCAAGCTTGAAAAATATTGAAGGTCATGGTATTGAAGGGTGCAATGGCATTGTAAGCGTTGAGAGTAGCAATGCTCCTGCTGACTTTGTTGTGGAACAAAGAAATGTGGTAATTCGGGACAATGAAACTGAAAATGGTGGGAATGATTTTAATTGGAGTGATTGGGTTGAAGAAGTGAATTTTGAAAGTGGTGAAAACATAGTTGCTGATTTCAATGAACCTAGCAACGAAGAGGAACCACAGTCTGCTCCGATTTTGCATCCTCATGAGGACAGCAATGTCGAACCGTCCACTGTGTAGTGTAGACAGGTGCAATCCGAACCTCCCCGACAATCAAGTTCGACTGAAATGCATACAAGTCGGGGTGATTTGAAGCATGGTCAGAGTTTGGAATATATTCAGTATGGTGGAGGCGTTTCGTGCATAAATTGGGAAGCAAATTTGAAGGTTGGCCGAGTTTATCCAAATAAGATTGCCCTTTTAAAAACCATCAGTTTAGCAGCTATTACAGGCCACTTTCGATTGAGAACTGTCCAATCTGGGAAGCATCGGTTGTGTGTTCGCTGTTGGCAGCTTCCTTGCCCTTGGAAAGTTCGGGCATATAAAGTTGGATTACATGAGTTTAAGGTTGTTAAATACGATCCACTTCATGAATGTGATATAACGTATATAAGTAGTCATCATCCTCAAGCTACGACTGAACTGCTGTCTGATTGTGTTAAGTGGAGATTTCAGGATTCGCGCAACATTTATACAGCAGCTGATATCAAGAAAGATGTGAAACAAAATTTCGGTGTGAGCATAAGCTACTCTACAGCGTGGAGAAGCCGAGAGTTAGCTTTCAAAAGAATTAGAGGGTCTGCAAAAGAGTCGTATTCCCTTCTCCCTTCCTATTGTTATGAATTGGAGCGTACAAATCCGGGAACTTTGACATACATTGAGACTGATGCAACTGATCACTTCTTATATTTTTTTATGGCAATTGGTGCATGCATACGAGGATTTAAGTCGTCAATGCGGCCCGTGATTGCTGTTGATGCTACTCATTTGAAGTGCAAGTATAGAGGTGTTTTGTTTGTTGCGACCGCATTTGATGGAAATCGGAACATATATCCTGTTGCCTTTGGGATTGGAGATTTGGAGACGGATGCAGCTTGGGAGTGGTTTTTGAGAAAACTACATTGTGCAATTGGTGATTGCTCGAATCTCGTTGTCATATCAGATCGCAAGGTTAGCATACAGAATGGGTTGCGTAGAGTTTTTCCTGGGGCAAGCCATGGTATTTGCTTTTATCACTTGAAAGGCAATATCAAAGCCTCATTTAAGTTGAAGCAGCGGGATCCGATATTGGGGTATTTTGTAAGGGCAGCTAAGTCTTATTGTCTAGCGGAGTTCAATCGTCACTTTTCCAGGATAAACAATGACGAGTGCGAACTTATTTACTACGTGCAGGCGTCCAGAAGTGGTCTCGGGCCCATTGTGATGGACGACGATATAATGTGATGACAACGAATATTGTGGAGTCCATTAATTCAGTTCTTCGGTTTGCAAGGATGCTTCTGGTGCTACACTTGATTGACGAAATTACAAATCTACTTGTCTGTTGGTTTAGGCAACGTCGAGAGTTAGCAATGAAATCTCATTCTATGTTGTGCCCTGATTTAGGGGAAATTAAGTTAAGGAAGAGGTTAGACGCTGCGTCAAGGATGAATGTGGTCAAAATCAATGAGGTCGAGTATAATGTTCTGGATGGTGATTTGAACGGTCTGGTGCACTTGCTTACATGCAGGAAGTTTGACTTGGAGCAACTCCCGTGCAAGCACGCTATTGCGGTATGTTGGCACTTGAAATTGAACCCCTACTCCTTTGCCTCTTCTTATTATACACGAGCTACATGGGCAGCTGCATATGCTGAATCTATTTATCCTGTACCACCTGAAGGCACATGGGTTATTCCCGAAAATTTGAAGAAGGTCAAAATCCTCCCTCCTCTTTGTAAGGTTATGCCGGGCCGTTGCAAAACGCAAAGAATAGCTTCGAGAGGAGAGGAGTCCCGTCAAAAAAAATGCTCAAGGTGTGGTGTGAAGGGCCACTACCGAAGTACATGCAAACAATCTGTCCCTCTCACCAACAAGCAGCACGTTGCGTAGATGTTACACTTGTTTAGTTTCTACCTCTGTTTTGGTCAACTGCGAAGTTGATGAATAGCTTCGGTGATGCTGCAGGGATGGAAGTCGGTCCACTCAACGGTCATGTGAAGCATATGGAACAAGGTAACAAGTCCTTTGCAATGAGAGCCTATTATTAGTAGAAATTGGTGAACATACAGTGCCATCACCACAGTGAAACCAGCTGTAAATTAACAATGTTCCACTGGCCAATGTGTGTTTTAGATTAGCATTTCTGTTCGTTTGTTATGTACCTTTCATTTGAAATTGAATTGAATTTGATTTGGTGTTCTCTATTGTGATTGTAGTCAAATTCTCATAAATTGCTTTCCTTTCCTAGACAACGTCATGTATTCCTGTTTGTATATTCACACTATCGTCATGTTGCTGTCCTTTTGTTGCGTCCAAAATGAAAGGGCCTAGAAGGCTAACTACAATTGCATCTCGTACATAAAACTCCTTCAAATGCAAAGCTTACGCAATTACTGTGATACTGGTAGTACTTCATGATTGCTCATTCTTCTCATCGCCACAAAACAGAATATATAGAGAATTTTTGGGAAAGTATACATGCAGCTACACATGGTCAACAGATCGCGATATTATCTATAATATCGCGATCTATTGTGATGTGAACTTTAAATAAAAAGCATTATTCACTTGAAGTCACACACACAGAGGATGAAACCCTTCCCCCTTCTAGGTTCTGAGCTACTTAACCACAACGCCAGTCATCGCTTTTTGATTACTGACTATGGACTCTGGTATTTATAAGTGTTCGAACCTGTTTTGCAAAATGAAAATTATTTACTTAGTGTTCTATATTGTTGGTCAATTATTTCATTACTTGATGTCATTCATTACAAACCCTTTTAATCCATTTCATGTTATTGCTTCTTTAATTCGAAGGTTCATTATAAGTACTGAAATTACTATCCCTTCAAATTGTTGCTTGTTTACTTAAATGAACACCCTCCTTTTTTTATTTCGTATTTAATTCTTCCTTTCATAACTGTATTTTTGTTCCACGTAAAAATTTGCATGTATGTATACTGTCCGTGGTTTGTATGGAATCGATATCTTTCCGATCTTTCCATGGATATTTTCGTGCTTCAGAACCACCAAACTTTCCTAAACCCGCCATCGTTACGACCTTTGCTACAGTACCTCTTTACCATTACTCAATTGGAAAAGCTATATGTTATGGTGCCAATCAATAAAGCATCAATAAAAGCACAATATACCTACCCTACGATCACAATATGACACAATACAATAGCAATACAAAAACAATAAAACAACAATATAAGTACTTTACGATTCCAATATGAGACAATAATATACCAATACACGAACAATATAAGTACTTGACGCTTCCAATATGAGGGCAATAAACATACAATAAGCACACATACAGTACACAACACTTTACGTTTATACAAACTTACTAATTTGCCACTCAACCGTGAGAATAAGAGCACGGCGTAAACAAGGCACCACATTCATACAAAATTCATTTCGTGTCCACAAAATGCTTTGAACCCGTACTTACCCTGACCCAGCCACACAGATCCTACCAAAATCCAAATGGTTACAGGTCCATCATTAGATCCATGTCCTTGTTCTTCTTCCTCGCTGCATGCACAAGGCTATGATCAGCCATTCCTTGGCCACAGCTATTCAGCACCTGCCAGACACCAGCAACATCTATTTGGCTCCAATTGTAGTCTGGTGAGATGACGGAAGCATAATCTCGGAACATCTCGAACCCATTGTTAAAAGATTCAACCATTTCATGGTTAAATTCTTCAGATTCAATGAATTTTTGCACAACATCTTTCTTTGTTTCTTCCAATTTGACCTTCAACCACTCTAACTTTGCCCTCCGACTTTTGGCTTTCATTGTTTGCTTCACTTCTCTAGCATATGCATTGTTCAGCTTGTTCGTCAAGTTTCCCATCACCTGGCCATGAATATCACATTTCGTTTCCCACCAATCCGTAGCCGCACACAAATATTGGAGGTCCTGCTTCACTTCAGCAATTTTGTCTAGTGGATCATTGTTGTCAGCCTCACTTCCAGATGACGTGGGATCGTTATTTGGAGTCCCAGGTGGAGATGGGAAAGGGACATGCCATGGCTGGTCTCCCGGGTAACTGCCATGGTCGTTCGGAGGGATTACGTCTGACATCTTCAACTATGGATGGGGAAATTGCACACATGCACCGTGCAAAACACTTAACATTAGGTTCAGTCTGCAGTTTTTTTTCTTCGTAACCAACAATAGGGTGAGCTTTAGTATAGCTTTGCTCTCTGCTATATATGGAGTACTATGTTTGATATGGAATTCAATGAGTACGTTAAACCCTCTTATATAGAGGAAGTTGTGTGTTTTATATTTATTTCAAATTGGTCATTACAGCTCAGTCTGCACCCTGTCCTCTTTGTAATTAATGAGAGCATTGTAAGATGCCCATTACAACCTTACCAAATACGAATAAAGGTATGTCAACGGTGGAATAATCGCCCGTACAAATATACACACCTAAACAACTGTGAATACACAATAAACACAACCTTACTAAAAAACTGTATACTATCTGAATATTCAAGGTCTTCACATAGTAATACTACAAATGACGACCAAGTTCCCTAATTATCCAAATAACGAAATATACATAAATGTTTATAAATTATTCAGTATTCCCTACAAATGACGATACTATATGTTGACCATATGAGAAAATTAAATAACATGAAAACAGTCATATACAGTCCCGACCCACATTTCAAGGGGAAGTTAACGTCAAGTGGGCGGAATACACATGAACTTATTTGCAAGTATCAAAATTCACAATTCGGATTTTACCGATATATTTAAAAATGGAACTCATCTACATCCGTTATTTGGAAGATAGCAACAAATAAATTCGAAACACATATACTTTCATGGTCCTTTTTTGTAAACATCTGCATTTGTACTTTGTGAAATGACCGTACTTATAAATTTGGGACATTTGTACCTCATACATGAGGGAAATTGGTCAAAGAGGACAACAGGAATAATTTGCAAATACAACAACGGTCCCATACAACAAACACCAACCAATAACCTAATTACACAAACCCCAAGTGTAACGTGTTGGCCAACAATTGGAGCCAACCACTCCCGCCAAAAATTGGAGCCAACAACTCCCGCCAATAACTCCCGCCAGTTGCTGACTGTCATTTACTCCTGCTCATTATTACCTCCCACTATTTAATTGTAACCCAGCTGCATCCACCCAACATTTCCATCACATTTACTCCGTCAAAACCCCCCTGCTTGCGCAACAATTTCAACCATATCACAATTACTTCCAGTTTGGGCAAACTAATGCCCACACCAACCCGCAGTAAATACCCAACACCCATGGACCGAAACCCCACACCAAACCCAACCCTTGCCATTACTGAAGGAGGGGACAATGACACACCTGCCAAATCAGCAACAGAAGACACTGAAGACTGGGTCCAAGGACTGCAGCAATGTCGAGCCAATACCATGTTCTGAAAAAATCTCCATGCAGACATAGTGTTAAAAATTAAAGAGGGCCAAGCTAGGTGGGGTATCATAAAAAACTGCACAATTCGGGCGCGTTATGAAGCCCGGATGCATCTCCTACATATAAAGGCTGTCAGAGCTAAAATTGAAAATGCCCCTGCCACTGCAGTTCTTGTATTCAAGGAATCTGACGAAATGGCTCAGCTGAAGCAAAAACAACTGCAATCTGGTTTCGAACTATTTAGGAAGTTTGCAAAAATTGTGGATGCAGAAGGAAAGTGGGACATCACTGTGGGAGGGGTCATGAATTTAATGGGTCGCGGTCGCCGCATGTGAAGGGTATGCAACTCGAAATGTATCCACAGACAGAAGGTATGACTTGTAATATGACCATGTCAACGGTTTAGGACAAACTTTGTACAGTGGAATGGAAGTATGACTTGGCCTCTTTTTTAATTATGTGCGGATGAGGTGCCCTGTTTATGTATTTATTTTGTATTAGGTAAGTTTGAGGGGGCCTCTTTTTTTCATATGTATAATGTAATCTTCAGGTGCCATCTTTGTTAACATTGTATTTAGTAAGTTTGTGGTCACCTTTTGTGTTGTTTTGTTTGTTTAATATATTGTTTTATGTAAGTTCACGCTGGGATGTTATTTTATTTTGTATTCTGCCAGTTTGAGGAGGCCTTCGTATTCTGATTGTTCCTGTTGCCTTCTTTATATTAAGTATGCTGGAAGTTTTAAAACAGCAGTTGATGTAATGTGGATGCATTCATTTCAGATCCGAATTATAACGTAATTACCTTCCACATAGTTCAACTTTGTACACTTGTCAAATGACATTGCAAAACCAATACTGAAGACAGTATAAAACAAACAATTTTGAATAGCAATACCAACCGAAAATAATGCACAGGTTACATTGCAATGCCAATATACGTGCAATATCATGCATTAGAAAACCAATAAAGAGCATTACAAACCCAATAAAGAGGCAATAGCAAACCAATAAGTTGCACTATAACACCAATACGTCAGTAAAAAACCAATATACACGCAACGAAGAATTAACATGTACTGTATTTCCAAGTGTATACCATGCCGTATGTGGATTCCAAAATAAGGGTACGAATAACATTCCAATTGGATTAGGCCCTCAGTGTTGCCTATGGTAAAGTTTGATATGTTGTATAAAAACCACCCCATAAACTCCAAGTTTCATGTTGGTGCGCTCACACGGTTTTATTATCCAAATTTCGCACATGCAAGTGAAACCCATTGACTACAAGATGAGCCTCTTGACCTCTCCAAATAGCGCACAAGTTGAACAACAATTCATACAGAGAAAACAAGGAGATGAGTAGGAGGAGCCTCCGTAGCGGTGCGGCTGAGTCAGTGAGGTCTCCATGCCACTCTCAAGAGTGGCCTTCAAGGTCTCGGTGGGAAATGGAAGACGCGAGTTCAGTATGTTCACGGCTGTGCTACTGTGGGAACGTTGTCAAAACGCATACATCCTGGACGGTTTCTCATCCGGGAAGGAGGTTTCAAGTATGTGCAAGGGTAAGTTTATTTCTCTGTAAGTTTGACCTGAAATTTGGCATTTTCGTGGATTCCATTTGTGATGCTGCGCCTCTTTGTAACGGAAATATTGTTTCCGTTTATGCAGAGGAATGGATGTACATTTTGGGAATGGGCTGACCCAGAGATGTGTGACAGATCAAAGCACATAATTCCAGGCTTACTTAGGAAAATAAACCGCTTGGAAGAAGAAAGAAACGCTGGAAAAGGGAAGATGAAAAACCCCTGGTTTTGGGTCTCTGTTTTCATGTTTGGAATGGTCATTTATTTGTTGTGTTCCAAATGTAATAGGAGGTTTGTTCATCTACAGTTGGCAGGTTAAAGGTGGTTAGGTTATGGATGTAATGGAAGAGGTTTGATGAATATGGTGTTAATACTTTGTTCTATACTATAATTCAGCATTTTATTGGAACCCATACTCATACTAATGCTAGAATACTTGATCAACTGAGTAATCTGAGATGTTCTAATCTGTCTTATTTTAGATGGTATACACATATTTTAAGTTGTAGAGTCATGATTCGTGAAGCTAGTAATCAACCGTTTTGGAAAGAAAAATTTATTACCGCTCTTCCAAACTTATTCGGCCATAAAAGAAGAACTGAGTTCAGCAATGAGCAAGGTCAAATTGATTGGAATAATTTAACCTATGGAAATACAATTAGTACAATTAACGAAGTTGGTATGAAAATGTGGGTACCTATGAAAATTGGTCGACAAATACAATCTGAGCACAAATGTGCTAAATATGAGTTAGGACTCTTCTGTCAACAATATGGTCTTACGTCAATACCTCTGTCTAGGAAAAATAAGTCCAATTACCCGAGTCACATTAGGAAAAGTCGTCATTACTCACGAAGAAAACAAGCCTTTGAACGGAATAAAGATAATCATGAGTTGTATAGGAAAAACAAAGTTTACCGTAAGAAAAATAGGTCCAAACCACCGAAACATAGTCGCTTTATGACAAGTGAAGACAATAGCAAAGTTAAATGTTAAAAATGTAAAAAGTTCGGACATTATGGCTCAGAGTGCATAAGCCAAAGATACTATGCAACAGTTGAAAATCACGGATGAGGAAAAAGACAATTTAATTATAGGTTTAGAGATGTGAGACTCTGAAACAAGTGAGATAGAAACAGTAGTCAACAATTCTGAGTCAGAACCCTACCAGTCCTCTGATTCCCAGTCTAGTTCAGCTGGAGTCCAATTTTGTTGCCAAGATAACTGTTGTAATTCAAAATCACTTAGAGTCCTTACTAAGCAAGAAGAGCAAGAAGAGTTATTCATAGAATTAATAAGTAAAGTATCAAATCTTGAGCTCAAATCGGAGTACTAAAGAAACCAAGAAAACTCATTAGCCAAGAAAGTCCTAGTCCATCAACTATCCCTAATTAAATAAGTCTAAATACAACAGTAGAAAAGTTTAGCAAGAGAAAAGAAGTCACCCTTCAACACCTACAATCTGAGATAAAAGTAGTCAACAAGGAAATCATTGAGTTAAAGCAAATGAGTCATAAAGTTGAAACTAAGAATTATGAAATAAAACAAAATTTCGTAACTCGTCTACCAAAGGATGATTCTGCGTCTAATAGTCAATATGAAAGTCCAACCAATTTTGAAGATGAGCCATCTAATTAATGAGAGCAAGCCCTTCAAATTAGTAAAACAAGTGAAGTTTAGAAAGTGGTATTCTACAGTGAAAAGAGTTGTCCACATTTATACGTTTCACACAGTCGCACTTTTTGATTCAGGAGGCGACCTTAACTGTATTGAAGAAGGCCTTTTCCCGACAAAGTATTATTAGAAATCCACAGTCTTTAAGTACTGCGTCGGGAAAAGCCTTACAGTTGAATTATGAGATTCCAAAAGCTAAAATTTAAAATAAAATCTGTTTTAAAACTGCCTTTGTTTTAGTAAAAAACATCACCGATGAAGTAATATTAGGATTACCCTTTATAGGTTTAGTATATCCGCTCTAGGTTGAACATGATGGTGTTAGTTCTATTTATGTAGGAGAAAGACTCAAATTTGATTTTTGAACTAAGCTTGAGTTACCTAACTGCAGATTCAGGAGGCGACCTTAACTGTATTGAAGAAGGCCTTTTCCCGACAAAGTATTATTAGAAATCCACAGTCTTTAAGTACTGCGTCGGGAAAAGCCTTACAGTTGAATTATGAGATTCCAAAAGCTAAAATTTAAAATAAAATCTGTTTTAAAACTGCCTTTGTTTTAGTAAAAAACATCACCGATGAAGTAATATTAGGATTACCCTTTATAGGTTTAGTATATCCGCTCTAGGTTGAACATGATGGTGTTAGTTCTATTTATGTAGGAGAAAGACTCAAATTTGATTTTTTGAACTAAGCTTGAGTTACCTAACTGCAGAATCCTTGGAAATAATATTGTTGCAAAAACAGTTAGTATAATTCAAAACAAAGCTCGATAGTTGAAATCTCTTCAAGAATAAGTTAAGTTTAAAATAAAATAAATTCGAACATTTGAAGAACAAATGAAGTTTGATATTTGAAACATGGCCTTTCTAATGCTTTTTGGCATAGTCATTTCTCTATAGTCTACATTGATGCTGTTGTTATCTTCTCTGAGTCCATAGAACATGAATGGAAACATTTGCATAAGTTGCTTCAGAAAGTTAGCCAAAATGGTGTAGTTGTCTCTGCCAAGAAAATGAAGTTGTTTGAAACCAATGTTAGATTTCTTGGTTTTAACATAAGCCACTCCCAAATTCATCAAATTGACAGTCATCCAATTTGCTGACAAATTCCCTGATCAAATCATTGATCAAATGTCCTGATCAAATCGTATAATGCTTTGTAAATGCCCCAGCAGAGGGTTAGGGATATTGTTTCGGCTAACAACCCCAAACATTTCTGTCCAGATTGGATGAAAATAATTAATATACGAAAGTAAGTATTACACCGAACCACACAAAACAAAACGGCTACAATGTGGGTGGGCCAAAAAAAATTGATATGGCTGCAACTTCGGCCAAATGAAGGATATTTTGTTATATGCCTGTACAAAACATGTCAAGTACAGAAGGTCAATAACCGCATTGTCAGAAAGGAAACGTGAGTACAACCCTTCTACTATGGAATACAAGTACTGGCGAATTACGTTACAGAAATTAACACCCTGCAACATAGTACAAAATCAGCACCCTTTATTGCCATCTGTACACAAAGTCAAAAATGGTGCCATGTAAGGCAAAACATCGCATTCATTTTCAGGATTGACAAAACGACGAAACAGCCTGCAACTTCTGTGACATACATGTACAGAATCTGTGATGTCAATATGGGTATGAACCTGAAAGGACCACCTGCATAAGAAGGCCAAATGTGCCGAGAGTTAGCATTCATAGAAAGGGAAACTTGAACGTCTTAATAATTGGAGCAATTTTAAGAAGTAATTCTATTCACCTTTCATAAACAACATGATACAAGTTTTGGATGATACACAGTCAGAGTTCAGAACATATGCCATACTTAAATCAGATGCCAGTTGCAAAACATGTACATTACCATCTACGGTGTTGAAATCCCCAATACCCTAAACTTTGATTAACAATAGTCGCCATTCGCATTCATAAAACTTGGAAAAGATGCCAACATACTGTAAGTTGTCTGAAATGAAGACTGAAAGCACAACTCTGTACGTACGACATAATTCAAAGTAGGTAAATAACTAGGCAATTCTGAAGGCAGTCCTTAACAGTGAATTCATATGAGGTCAGATATGGACTTTTACCTCATACATAGGCCTCTCCCCTGAGAGCCTCGATTGCAAGCTTCAATCGGTAGTAGCCAAACTTGGCTGGGTCAATGGTATTAAAAGGAATGCCAGCACTGAGATACTCAATAAATTTGACGGTCATAATGCCACATGAGGTACTGTCCACCCGAGAAGTACAGAAGTTAGAAGTGCACATACTGACAACATGCACAAAGTGCTTTAAATGAACACAGCTTACCCATCACTTTGCTGAGGAACATCGGAAATTCTGCAAATTGTGAATGGGTTAAACGTTGGCATGTCAATCCCCTTTTTCTTCACCGCTTCAACCTCCGATTTCTCATAAAACCTCATGTCATACAACACCTTTGCAAGCTTCTGGGTAATAGGCTCCATCTGTCGGACAAGCATTGTGTTGGAGGTAAAAACAGTATACGAGTAGTAGACAGTGGCAGTATGTCTGACAAAGTCAATTTCTACAGCCACCCAATGGGGTTGTCGAACATTATACGGGAGATAGACCTTGCGGACTTTCGTCCATGCTTGTGCATAACCATGTTGCCATGAACCCCAGACAAAGTGGTGTATATTTCTGAGGTAGTTAGGGGGAGGGTCAACAGTCATTGAAGCAATTTGTTTCCTCGTAACTCGTTTCGCACTTGGCGGTGTAAATGGCTGTAAAAATTGCTGCAAACAAGTGTGAAAGACACGTTACATGAACAGGATCCAATGCACCAAACACAGCCAACAACATTACTCCTACCAATGCAACAAATTCAATGACACATAATATGAATACAATAATACCTGCAGACAAAACTCGGCTGTTGTCCACTCCGTTCCAAATACTTGAGGATGAGAGAGTTGTCTTTTGCGTATTAGAAACATGGCCATGTCAAGGTGCTGACATTTCACAACACAACAACGACCTCAATATTAAAAAAAAATGGCCACATACTCAAAGTGATCAATTCAGAAATTTTTCGAAATAAAGCACGGTTCAAAAGTATTACCCTCGAGCTCATCCATGCAGTTTCATCTACAAGTTTGTAAAAAAAATCTGCCCCAACTACAAATGGTTCGAGCTCCAGCTCCGCACTACAAAAAAATAAACTTGCAAAGGTAAATTCAACCATAAAAAAAACTAATGGACACCTTGCATAATATGACAATGACACACACACGAACAATTAGCTACGTAGATATTGTTATTGTACATGACTGCATACATCAAAAAACATGTATATTGGTTTTGCCAAGTTACAATTCCTAACCTGATGTCACTTTTCCAAGCCTTGCAAACTTGTATCATAGCCTTCACATCGTCCATGGCCACGGGTTGTGTTGGATCAAAACGGGCCTCAGGTGTCTGTGCATGAAAACCAGTAGTCGGCCTCTTTTTCCTGGAGGGATCAGTGAATGGACTCAACAATGTTTTCGCGGGCCGCTTCAGTCTGCATCCTTTGCCTTCCGCATCTGGTTTCTGAACCGTGGCATTAGCCTCCTTGTCCCCTTCATCACCAACCAGATTTATACTAGTTTCCATGGGAGGCCTCGCCTTGCGTCCCACCCCCTGAATTTCTTTCTTATTCCAATCCTCTAACAAATTTAACATTGTTTTACAAATAACTCTGTACCCTTCCCTATCTTCCGGACTAGGAATGAGGGGATCTTCAAGACTAGGAACCTTCACATCTTCCGAAGTAGGAACCTTGTGAGGTTGTTGGTGCACTTGTTTGTTACAAACTGAAGTGTCAATTTCAGCGGCTTCGACTTCCATGGCTGGGAAGCCCTCCACAATATCAGCAGGGACTTCCGCTTCCCTTTTAGCCCCTTGTATATGCATGGCTAGAAAAGCTTCCACTCCATCAGCAGGGACTTCCGCTTCCCTTTCAGCCCCTTCCACTCCACCATAGACTGTTGCTTCCATTTCAGCCCGTTCTGTATGCATGCCTGGGAAGGCTTCCACTCCATCACCTGCAACTTGTGCGTCCATTTTAGGCCCTGCTGTAGTCGGAGTAGTAAGTTCATTCAAGGGTGACATTTCATTCTGCCCTCCTTCATTCATCTGAGCAGTCCACACTTCCTCATGCCCTTCTCCACCATATAATTTTTTTAACTCCTCCATCTCCAATTTAAAATAATGTTCCACTGAAGCAATTGTTAGGGTCAAATCCCCAATAGCCTTTTTATTTCTGTCACACTCCTTCTCATGCTTCAAACAGTTCTTGTCTACAATAGCTTCCAAGTCACGAACTCTGTTCCTAAGGCCCCGATTTGAACTACGTAGCTTTGCTAACTCATCCTTAGTGCTTTCTAATTGATGCTTCAACCTGCCAAAGTCATTAAAAGACCCTTTGCCCTGCATAAAGTTATAATGCAACAGTTAGAAATCTTACAAAAGATAAGAAAACTATTTCCACTTCTTTCGTATCGTATTCTCTACATTTTCACAACATTGGAAAAAGGTCATGCTCACCTTAGAAGAGGAGGGAAGGGTAGTTGTTTCCTCAACATCCGCCTCTTTTTCTTCACTAGAAGTGTTGGTTTTGTCTTCGCCCTCATCCCCAAACAATTGAACAATTTCTTCATTGTTCTCATCATCACCCCAACTCCAGTAAGGTTGTTGCTTCTCAATATCAGTCGGAAGGAGAAGTTGCACATCAACCTCCATTTGAAACACATCTAATAAATCAGTGAACTTTTTACTTGTTCCTAATCATAACCTGAGTAATACAAACTGAACTAACCTCAAAGTTTTCATAAACCTGACTCATAACCTCCCGAAAACCGTCCTCCAATGTAATATTCGAGGGATGTGCCTATTGTCTTCATGGACTGTGAAATGCAATGCTTCCAATGCTGGGAAGACTTCAAAAGCCCAAATCTATTGACAACAATCAAACATCAAAATCTGTACATGTATTTAAATGAACTAAAACATTGTTGGATATGTGTTCACCTGAAGAACGAAGCCAAACCCCCTTATGATGTACTCTCTGGCTCTACTGCATTCCATTCTTGTATGCGCTCTCTTCTTCCCATGTTTGTTGGGCTTTTTTCTGTTTTGGGGCACCTTCACTCGTTGGTAATCAGGAGAAACTGCCCTCAAAAGTGAAGCATTTGTCATCGCATATGACACGGCACCCCATGGATACTTGTCAAACTCTTCTAAGTCTTTGGCCAACTTCAAATAGCGCATGTCAATAAGCACATGCTTTTCAGTACCCAATAGCACAAAAATGGCAAAATAGACCATTCCAAGCTTTAACGCATCGCCATCATCTGTGCACTCGATGAAGGCAGTGTGTAGGTCCAAAAGGGTGGGAGGTTTATTGCTACTGAAGTATTTTCGCTTCAAGGAGCAGTTTTCATTTGTCGCCTTCGGAATGAAAGGGAGCTTTCCGAACCTTAGGCCCGTGATGAGGCAAAAGTGTTGGGCTGTGAATTGTACCAACTTGTTACCCACAATGAATTTTATCCCGTTCACCTGTGTAACTGTCTTAGGATCAGCCTTCCTCATCAACAGCCCGTGGACAACTTGTGAATTCCACTTCAGGTCCTCTATCAGTAATAGATGACCAAAACAACTCCCCTCGAACCTCTGTAACTGCTGCGTATTGAACTTCGCCTTTATTGTTGTAATGGCGGTCCTTGCGTGTGAAAGGGCAAATGGCTTTCCTTCGTACTTCTCATCCTCAGGAATCATAAGCTTTGCTTTACAAGCCATTCTAGAGTTCCCTGCACAACAACATCATACATATGGATCATTGGTTACCCATATTTCATACGTACATTACTCAAACTAATACTTTCAAGTCATTTAATATATGTATATACATATGACAAAACCAGAATTGTTTTGAAGCCTCTTTTCTACTCTCCAACTCTCTCCACACTCTGCTGTTATCTACATTCCCTTCTACAAAATCTATATTCGATTCCATCCAAAAACCAAATACCACCCAAGTGTGAAAACAAGTTCATGAACCACGGATCCACTTCATACAGGGTTTTGGCGAAATGGCTACAACAATTACTCCAAATGCATCAATGCGTACTAAAATCTACTCATTACCATAGTCATATACATGTCTACTCATGGAACATCAGTATTGGCAGTTATGGACTCTGTGTACAAACTAGACACGTCAAAATGTTACTGCAGCTGCAACTGCTAAACATAGCTGGATGAACATGAAATTTCTAAACAGATACTAAAGCCCAAGAAAATACCATTTTCAGACATATATGACAAGCTGCAAGCAAGGACTAACAACAAAATTTAGCAGGTTTTATAGCACAGGGAAAAGAAACATCCCACGCCAACTTACATTAGTATTTCAAATTCACATAATTAACCATTAAGACTGGAAGGGTGCAAAACTATGCTACTAGGTGCTGAAACAGCAATGATACCAACAAATTTACTTATGCATTATTACTCAACAGCTAATTTAGGGCCTAGTGAGGTAAACCTGTGTTATAATGGAATAGCCATTGCCACCAGAATAAATTCCCACACTAAATATGCATCATCAAATGGAAGTGAAAACACGCATCACAAACGAACCAATCCCAGATGACAAATACCAACTTAAGGCACTTCATCGTCCACAGAGCAAAATCAATACACCAATACAAGTTTCATCCAAGCATGAAATAATTCACAGTTAAAATACATTATTATTGCAATCTCTGTAATTACTAAACTTCACAACATCAGTCACAGGTTACTGAAATTATCCTTCTCAAATGAAAACCATACAAATGCACAAACTAGTCAATAACAAATACAAAACCAACCTTAGAATCACTCGTTTTGTGCACAGAACCGAATTGGAAATCCGAGCAACACCTACAGAAAATCGCGATTTTTGTCTCTGACAGGATTGAGCAGGAGGAGGAAGTATGTGAACTAAGTCTGAACCGAAACCAGGATTTAGGGTTTTTTGAGGCCCTGAAGGAGCAGAGGAGAAGAGAAAGACTTCGATTCAAGACATGAAAAGAGAGGGAACTGAGAAATCGTTTAAGGGAGATAACATTTAACGAAGAAACCCTAAACGTCAATAACCGCCTCCCCAAACCCTAACATTGACGGCAGAGAGAGAACGAGAGAGTGCTGCTTAGATTTTGGGGACAGAGGGAGACATAGAGTGGTGGTGGCCGCTGGAGAGAGAAAGCGCCGACAGAGAGGAAGAGACGACCGTCACACAGAGCTGAGAAAGACAGAAGTGTTAGGTCGCCAATCCATGGCCAATAACTCCCCAATAGATATGTTTTTATATGGAGGGCACTTTGGTCATTTCACGTCCCCAAGTGATTATATTAGAATACAATTTGTAGCCTGATTATTTCAGCACACTATTTCTGATTTGTGATTACACCAGCTTATTTCCCTACTTTAAAAAAAAAATACAGAATTAACTTAATCTCTCATTCTTTCAATTTTTTAAAAATAAATATATTGGGGGGGCCCCAGAACTGAAACCTCACTTCTTTTTATTAAACCTGTCCAATGCAAGCCCAAACACATATGCATAACGCAAGCCCAATTTTTGAAGGGCCAAGGTCACTACAAGCCTTATTTTTTTAATTTCAAATTAGAAAGTACCCTTTTATTCACTTGATTTGGATATCCATAATCTTTGATCCATTACTGCCGTGATCGGAAGTTTGCTACCCATGAGTGAATACAAGATTTACCTTATTACAAGGATTCTATATGAGATTTTCTATTTAAACTCCACACTTCTCTTAATTCATTCCATGTTTTAAGTTTATCCTAACTTTTAATTTAAATTTTCACAATTTCTAAGAAAACCCCACTATCTTCCCAAATTACCCTTAAATACACCCCAAGCTGAAAAAATAAGAAATAAAAGAAAATTTTCATTTAAACCCCACAAGCTACCCTTAGAGAAGGAAGTACGTTCTGCAAACTCGAATGCTAAATGCTAGACATTTTATTATTTTCTCTCTTGAGTATTTAATAATGACAATGAGGTATTTAATTTTCATTGGTATAACAGCTACATCAATACCAAAAGTTTGCAGGACCTGTGTGTCAAATTAGTATAACATGAAGAAAATTCAAGCTACCCAATATTGGAATTCCATAAGTGACAATAATATTATTGTTCCCAGCAGGAAAAAAAGAATTATCTGAACACCTCGATTTCTTTTGCGATTAGCCTCTATTAATTCTGTCATTACTCATTTTCTTCTTTTGTTTGGACCCAAAAGCGATTGTTGAAAACTTTGTATGTAAATGTTTGAATAGGCGATACCAATAATGCCACAAAAAAGGAGCTATACAGGGATGTGTACAACTTTGGGGATATCATGCTGGAAATTTTAAGCAATGGTAGGTTGACGAATTCATGAGCAAGCATACAGAGCAAGTCAAGGGAAGTTATTATGAGAGAAATTTATAATGAGAATGAAGTTGGTACGAACCTTCCGTGCGAGAGGAGATAAAACTAGTACTTGAGGTTGCTACACTTTGCACTAGGAGTAGGCCATCTGATTGGCCATCAATGGAGAATACATTGAAGCTTTTATTAGAGTGGAAAAGCAACGAGAAAAATAACCCAACTATTAAAGCAGCAGTAGGGTTATAATTTTAGATGCATACTGGAATTCTAGAAGTGACAATAATATTATTGTTCCCAGCAAAAAAAAATTACAATCAAATGGAACCCCAAAATCCAAAATTTATATAATGAAAACAAGAGAAAGACAAACAACATCTTACCAAAACAAAAAAAAAAAAAAAAAAAAAAAAACAAAACAAACAACAACAAGAAATTAACAAAGGGAAGAGAATAAGATCACTACAACCAAACAATCAACAAGTCTTTTCATCAGCACCCATGCAGATTTTAAAGAGGCCTACTCGTCAATGTTCTATGTCTCTGGCAATACGATGTAGGAGTTTGTATTTTCTAAAACTTAATATGAAGAGTGGTGGGGGTGTGTGTATAGATGTATTAGGGTTAAGTACTAAGTTGGATGACCTTTTTTGTCTTTTTACACAATAATAAAACTTACAGCTTAATGATTTAAGTATTGAGGTGAACTAAGAGAAGTGTGGGGTTTAAATAGAAAATCTTTTATATATTGAGGACCATATAAGCCTACGTGTCAGCTTGTTAAGCATTCAGGGACTTTGGGCCTATGAAAGGCCCAAGCCTCTTATTATCTTGGTAGGCGATATGATGTCACATGTGTCTAATAAATACTTGATTAAGTGCATATCTTCTTTCTAACCTCTGGTCAGGGACAATCTTGTCCGTCCCAACTCCTTTGGGATAGTTATTCTCTTTTATAGACCTTGGGAGGTGTGCAAGTTGTTTAGAATTTCGATGTGGGACTGTGGACTCCAATTGTGGGACTGCCACGTGTCCCAAAGGAAATGTTGCCCTAGCCACGGGTTTGGTAGGGATGGTGCCGAAGGCAACCATAGTGGAGCGCGGTTTTATTCCACGTGTCTGGCTCTCATAGGCTGCTTATTTTGGGTATAAACAGGAGTCCCCCAAGTTCTCTTGCGAGAGTTCTCGGAAGGGGACTTGAAATCAACTTCGGCAGGAAATGTTGTCCTGCCGTTCGGTAATCCAGCTGATGGAGGGGCTCAACTTGGCCCTTCCGTTTGTGTTCATTCAGAAGCTGACGTCGGGGAAGTCAGAAGGTCGCTTCGAGTTGATGTGTGAAGAGATGTGCGGGCGCTTTGTCTTCCATGCCTCGCGTGCTGTCAGTCCCCCATAAGGTGAGTGACACGTGGCGCGAGCACTCAATAGGCACAGCGCATTAATGTGCCGTTTAGTTTTTCGAGGTGTACCGTTGCGAACCCTCGCCTTGTGTTTGTGGGAAGCGAGAGCTCTGTTGAGGCGATTTCCGACGAGAGCTTACGGCATTCAAGGCGATTTCTGACACGTTCTAACGGTAGATCGGGCAATTTTCAGCATAGCAAACGGCAAGCACGGCGAATTTCGACAAAGGCGATCGGTAACATAGTTCATGATCTTTATACAGCTCGATTTAAGGTACCGTTCGACACCCTTATTTAACTCTCCCCTCTAATTATTACTGCCCCATCCTTCCTTGGCATGAACTAGACTGACCATAGGGTTCTGTTCGGTAGGCTGGTATTCGGAGTGAGCCTTAGTTTCCTTTTCTCTTTTGTAGATGTCTGATAGCGAGTCACTTTACGAGGGTGAGCCAAATGCCTTCGAGGGGGAGTCATCGGACGGTCTGTTTGATTCAGAAAGTGAGGCCACCGAAAACATCGGTGCCAAGGATGGAGAAGACACCGATGTGGAGATAATCGGTGAAGTCATAACCTCCGTCCCTACCCACGGGATCGGTAAGGGGCTCATGGTAAGGCAGCTAGATCCATTGGCCGCGATCTTCCGTGATGGCAATCACTTTGGCATAAACATAGACGACGAGTCCAGTGCCGCTCGCCAATCGGAGACCTCCACGTCCGACCGTAGTGAGGCGGCTGCCGAACCTTCTTCTCGTCCTAGGGTTTCTATAGTATACCCTAGTAATCCTAGGGCGCCTATGGGAGTGCCGAAGGAGCATTTGTTCGGCGTCGACTATTTGGTTCTGAACAAAATAACTGAGCGGGAGATCGCCAAGTATAGGGTGGAGTACCGTATCCCAGATTCGGTAAAGATGAGGATTCCGGGTGCCACCGAATCGCTTACCACACTGAAGGACGGCGAGGTGGTCTTCTTTACCGATGTCCTCATTCATGGCGTTTGGTTGCCGTTGCAGCCGGCGGTTCAGAGAATCTTAGCCTAGATTGGCTACGATCCGGGCCAATTTAACCCAAACTTCTTGGTGACCTTGATAGGAGTAATAACGGCCTCCGGCATGGCCGGTGAAGGAGAGCCCTCATACGAGCAGTTCTCGTATCTGTACAGCTTCACAAAATCAAAGAGTGCTGACCACGGTGGATAGTTACAGGCGAACTGTCTCAGCAGCCGATCCCTACCTAATCAGAGATTCGGCAAGTCGAGAGGGTGAGGAGCTAGGTCCCTGCCGTTAAGGGGGTGTACCCCCAGTTCCTTTTCATAGCCAACCTCATCCAAGCACAGCTCGTCGACACTGCCGAGAGTAAGTGTACTTCGTTCATCGTGAGTTCGTTATCACTAGAATGAAACTCTTATCGATCCTTGCTTGTGTAGTGACGGAAGAGAGGAGGGCTACCGAGGCAAAGAGGATGAACGAGTCCTCTAAGCGGCGCCTAATGATGGGCCTTCAAGGCAAGAAGGTGAAATGGCAGGCAGGGGCAGCGGCCGTTCCGTCGGTGGGGGTTGATCCAGAAGATCAGACCTTTGTCGATCGCCTGAGGCAACTTAATGCCAAGGCGGCTTCGGCCGGTACTGGAGCAGTTAGCCCTTCGGCAAGGCGGGGTCAGATATTAGGCGCCACTTCATCCAAGGCCGTCGGAAAGAGGCCGATGACGGTGGACTTGGAGGCAGAGCTGGCGCCCAAGCGGACTCGGTAGGGAGAGGTGCTGAGGGTCATCCTTGCCGCCGAGGACGATGACAACCCTGCGGAGCCCGTCATGATCGCCTACCCATCGAAGGCAGTATAGTTTGCGAACCATATGATCCTTGGTTTCTCAAATGGAACTGTCCGAGATAGAGGAGCTGCCAAAGAAGGTCCTTCGGGAAGAGGCTGGGCGTGCCTTCCGTCTCCAGGCCTCGGTAAGGCGTCTTTGCTTTTACCCTTTTTTTTTCTGTTTCTGTAATTGCCGTTTGATACTGACTTCGTTTTTTTTGCAGGCATCAATGGACATGTGGTTGTGCATGAAGCGCGCCATAACCGCTGCTGAGCGTGCCAAGAAGGCCTATGACGAAGGCTGGGCCAAAGTTGCCGAGGCAGGGAAGGCGCTCCAGGCTCAGGCGAACCTCGTCAAGGATATGCAGGCTGCCGAACGGCAAGTCCAGGTTTACAGCGCCAAGCTCGCGGAGATGACGGCAGCTCTGGAAGGGGCTCAGCTGGCGGTAAAGGAGACCGTCCAAGTGGCGTTGGAGGAATCAGAGCGGGCCAAGGCTTCGGAGATTGACGAGGCAATAAGGACCTTCCGTCAGTCGACCGAGTTCTCCATCCTACTAGACAAGGAGGTCGGTGTGGAGATGGCGGATCTGCTCTACAGATTCAAAAGGTACAATCCTGGACGAAAGCTCAACCTTAACTTCATTGCCGACCCTCATCCCCTTCCGGAAGGCCTCACCAAAGAGATGATCAAGGATTACGAAGAGGAGGACGCCCCGGAAGAGGCCTTCGTCGCCGAGGACTTTGTAACCGCCGAAGCTGCTGCTGTTGAGGGTGCCAACGTTGATGACGAGGATGCTGCTGCCTAGGAGTTATTATTTATTTCTTTTTTTTTGATAATTTGTATTATCATATCTGCCATAAGGCAGTTCTTCCGAACATCTTGATGCCGAGGGCATCTTTTTAATTTTAAGCTGTTTTTAAATCTTTAAGGGTGTACTCTATCGGTAGTATTTATGTTTTCGTTAATCAACCGTGTTCTCATATTGTTGCCAAGGGCTAACTAGTATCACTTTGCAAGTTCCAAGTGAGCTCGAGGTCGGTGACAACCTTAGGGCTTAATCGCTTTGTAAAGGAATCGGAAGTAGACTCTCATTACCGAAGGCTAGTTAGAGACAGAACCCAAACACCTTTAATTACCGAAAAGAAACTACAGGATTAACTACTGTAGGCTAGTACCATACACAAAATGAGTGCACACGTAATCGGTAAGACATAACTACTTTTACGTGCCGATGGCTAAATAAAAGCTTGCTAGCGAAGGCTGAGAGTAAGAGACAAATTCCCAAGTTAACTTCCGATCGGTAATTGGCTTAGAGATTGATGACTCGAAAACAGGCTTAAGGTGTTGCGTTAATTAATGAAAAAGTGATTCATCATACCGAAGGTTGTGAGCAAAATAAGCCAAAAGCTTCTTCATAAATGGTGCCGAAGGCAAGGTTACAGTTTCATGAGTTACACTTTTATCCTGTCGTAGGCTAGGTGACTTCATTTAAAATAATATTTCAAATGGTCTACGTTCCAAGGATGACCGAGGGTCTTGCCGTTGGAATCTCTGAGCCGATATGTTCCCGACCGCTGGATGCCGATGATCTCGTAAGGTCCTTCCTAGGAAGGTCCGAGGGTTCCTTCTGTGGGGTTCTTAGTTGCTAGAGAGTCCCAATCACCGACTCGGAAAGAGCGGGATCTGACTCTGGAGTTGTAATACCGAGAGACGTGCTATTTGTAGGCTTCATTCCGAAGGTTGGCCTGTGCTCGGCGTTCATTGATCAGGTCAAGGCTTAATGCAAGTGCCTCCTCATTTGCTTTCGGAGCATGGGTTTCTGTTCGGTAAGAGGACTCTCCGATCTTCACAGGAACCACTGCTTCTGAACCGAAGGCAAGAGAGAAGGGTGTTTCCCCAGTTGCCGTTCGGTAGGATGTCCGGATAGCCCATAATGCTTCTGGAAGTTTCTTCGGCCAGGCTCCTTTGGCCTTGTCAAGCTGTCGTTTCAGTAGCTTCTTCACTATTTTATTCATTGCTTCGACTTGACCATTCTATTGGGGGTGAGCTAGCGAAGCGAAGAAAAGATTAATCTTGAGGCGAGTGCAGAACTACCTAAAGACTTCCGAATCGAATTGCCTGTCTTTATCGGTGATGATGGCATAGGGGATACCGAATCGGCAGCAAATGTTTGTCGAAATGAAATCTTCCATTCTGGCTGCCGTTATTGTTGCTAAAGCTTCAGCCTCTACCCATTTGGTGAAGTAGTCCACGGCAACAACAGTGTACTTTACCTGTCCCTTGCCTTACGACATCGGACCGATCAAGTCTAGTCCCCACTGGGCGAAAGGCCATGGGCTTATGATCGGTGAGAGAGGCTCGGCAGGGATGTGAGGCACATTGCCGAATCGTTGGCATTTGTCACACTTTATTACTAACGCATTTGCATCTTGGTGCAAAGTCGGCCAAAAATACCCCTGCCGGAAGGTTTTGTGTGCCAACGATCAGGACCCTGAATGGTCACCGCAGACTCCGCTATAGATTTCCCGAAGGGCGTAGTTCCCCTACTCCTTGGTGAGGCACTTCAGATACGGCGTGGTATAGCCTCGTTTGTACAGAATATCGTTGAATGGTCACCGCAGACTCCGCTATGTATCTTGCCGATCGGTAACATAGCTTCCGTGCTTGGGACTTGTCGATGGGCAGAATTCCGCTTGCCAAGAAAGCATAAATTGGAGACATCCATGTGCCCTCGTACCGTACGATACATACTTCAGCAGTTGCCGTGCTTGGCTGGGATAGTATCACCACCGGCACCTTCCTTCCGATCTTATCGTTTATTGCCGACGCCAAACATGAGAGTGCATCGGCGTGACTGTTTTCTGACCTGGGAACCTGCCGAATCTCTTAGGCCTAGAACTTCTTTAAGAGTTGGTGGGGTGCCGATAGATAGGCGGACATGGAGGCATCCTTCGCTGCGTAGTCTGCCGTTATTTGATTCACTATTAGTTGGGAGTCACTGTGAATAACGATTTGTATTGCGCTCATGCTTTTGGCTAGCCGAAGGCCGGCCAAGAGAGCCTCATACTTTGCCTCGTTGTTAGAGGTTCTGAAGTTGAATCGGAGGGCATATTCGACCTTTGTTCCATCTGGAGTAGTCAATACCAGACTAGCACCACACCCTTGTTGATTTGCCGAGCCGTCGACGTGCAGGATCCATACAGGAATGGAAGGATCAAATCGTTTGGCATTCAACCTTTCTGGTTCCACGGTTTCAACGTTCGGAAGGGATTGTGCCGATGGTGCCGGAGGTGTGAGTTCAGAAATGAAGTCCGCGACAGCCTGACCCTTCTCGGCTTGAACTGTATGTCAAACTCCCCGAGCTCGATCGCCTATTTGATCAATCGGCCGGATGTTTCTAGTTTTTGTAGTACCTGTCGAAGCGGTTGATTGGTCAAAATCGTGATCTCGTGCGCCTGGAAGTATGGGCGGAGCCTTCGAGTTGAGACAACAAGGGCTAGTGCTAGCTGCTCCAAGGGGGGATACCGAAGCTCTGCTCTCTGCAGTGCTTTGCTGACATAAAATATTGGTAGCTCTGCCTTCTCTGGTCTGCGTATTAATACTGAATTGACGGCAGTACTGGATACTGAGAGATAGAGAAATAGAACCTCTCCTGGGAACGGCTTCGACAACAATGATGCTCTGCTCATATAGTTCTTTAGGTCTTGAAATGCCTTGTCGCATTCAGTAGTCCATGTGATATTCTATTTGCCCCCTTTCAAGGCCTTAGAGAACAGTACACATTTATCGGTGGCTTTGAATGTCCTTCTGCGTCTTCGGCCTCTCCATGTCGATTATGGCTTTGATTTTCTCGGGATTGGCTTCGATTCCTCTCTGACTGATCATAAAACCGAGAAACTTACCCGAAGACACACCGAAGGTACACTTCGTTGGGTTTAGTCTCATTCGGTAGTCTTTTAGTATACCGAACATGAGGGCCAGGTTTGTTAAATGCTCCTCTGCCGTTCAGCTCTTGACTAGCATATCGTCGACATACACCTCCATGATGCTGCCGATGTGTTTGGTGAAAATTCGGTTGACAAGCCTTTGATATGTTGCCCCCGCGCATAACGTTGTAGCAGTATAGTCCCCGGTCTGTGATGAATGTCATATGTTCGCTATCGGCAGGGTGCATGAAGATCTGGTTGTATCCCGAATAGGCGTCCAAGAAACTGAGCAACTCGTGACCGGCAGTCGCGTCAACAAGCTGGTCGATCCTGGGCAAAGGAAAACTGTCCTTTGGACAAGCCTTTTTCAGGTCGGTATAGTCCTGACACATTCGCCATCCGCCATTGCCCTTCCGAACCATGACCGAGTTTGCAAGCTAGTCAGGGTACGTGGCTTCCCTGATAAAGCCAATGGCTTTAAGCTTGTCAACTTCGGTATGCATGGCCTCGTATCGTTCGGTATCATAAGAACGTCGCTTATGTCTGACAGGCTTATAGGAAGGGTAGATGCTGAGCTTGTGGCTGATGACGTCTGGGGATATGCTGGGCATATCGTCATAAGACCAAGCAAAGACCTCGGCATGGTGTCGCAAGAAGTCAATGAACTATGTCCGGTGGTGGGGTTTGAGGGTGGTGCCGATCTTTACACACTGGTCGGGATATTCTTTATTCAGCATTACTGTTTTGAGTTCTTCGGCAGGTTGCACTACCGGCGTTGGCATTTCCTCTTTTGGGTCGTCTATAGGCCCGCTACAGTTCGGTAGCCCATGCACAGACATGGCTTCCGCTGGAGGTTTGCAAGCTACTGATTTCAAAGCAGTCGCATAGCACGTCTGTACCATTGCAGGTAGGGAACTTCATCAGCAACATGTGGGGGGACAGGTGAGCCTTGATTCCAGTGAGCGCCATTCAGATGATGACGTTGTATGCCGTTGGGCAGTCAACAATAAGGAATTGGTCGTAGATCATTGTGTTCTGTGGGGCAACACCGAAGGCGATGGGCAGACTGAGACTGCCGACTGGCTGGACCAGGTCCCCCGAGAAGCTCAACAATGGGGTTATCTGCCAATTGACCTAGCTATCTGCCACTCCCATTTCCTTGAAAGCATCGGCAAAGATTACGTTTACCGAGCTTCCGTTGTCGATCAGCACCCGTCCCACATCATAGTCAGCGATTTCAACCCGGATGATCATCGGGTCGTCATGGGGATAAATGACCCCTTCCTCTTTTTCCTCACAGAAAGTGATGGGTTCCCATCGCACCTTTGGCAATTGGTTGTGCCGGTTGACCTCTATGCCGAAGACTTGAGGGTAGTGAGCTGCATGAACGTAATGCTTCACCGATCAATTTGATGATCCCACCAAAGTGGGACCTCTGCTGATGGTGCTGATCATGTTGATCTGTCGGTTCGCGTTCGGAACTGGTGCCTGCTGAGGTCTAGCAATATATTGATCCAGCTTTCCATCCCAAATCAATCTCTCAACGATCTTCCTTAGGCTTATGCAGTCTTCGGTGTTGTGACTGTTATGCTGATGGTATCGACAGAATTTACCCGTATCCCGATTGTCCTGCCGATTGGGCTTTCGGTTATTTGGCTTGGGTATTATCTCGTTTTCATTCATCAAGACTGCCTCATAGGTCATGTTCAACGAAGTAAAGACTTCTTGCGTGCGATCGTGGTTCGGCAATGGTGCTTGGTGGTCATTGAGATCGTATTTTCCTTGTCCCTTCTTTGAACTTCCTTGCCGATTATCACGGTCATCCTTTTGCTTGTGCCATGCCGAAGGCTCGTCAATCTTTCTTGGAGGGTATGGTGATCCCTGCCTGGGATAGCCTTTCAATGCTGGCTCCTCTTACCGAGCCGAAGGCTCGGATTTGGAGTTGAAATATTCTGCCTTGGTGTGGATCGCCGCTTGCTTCATTAACTCGTCATATGTGCGCCAGTTGCTGCTGTGCACGAGGTACCGAAAGTGAGAGGACCGAAGGCCACTCTTAAAGGCGTCATAGGCTGCCCTATCGTCCGTTTTCGGACACATGGAGTACTCGTTGCGTACTCCTGTAGGGGTTCGTCTTCTCTCTGCCGAATCGTGTACAGATCATCGGCAGAGTACAGACGGTCTGTTTGGATCATAAAATGATTAAGGAAAATCTGCTTTAATTTGTCGAAGGAGTCTACCGTCCCTGGCTCCAAATGGTAAAACCAGTTCAATGCAGCTTCAGTATGAAAATTTGCTTTAACAGACATTGCCCTTCGTCGCTTAGGCCCTTGCATCCGACTGCCGATTGGAATGAGTGAAGGTGCGTTAAGGGGTCTTCGATGCCGGTGTAGAACGGTGTCCGAAGTGGTTGTATATCCCTATCCTACCGCGAACGTTTTATGCGTTCGGTGAACGGTCCTGGCCGAAGCTTGCCCCAGTCAGGCTCTTGGGAGCGGGTTCTATCGTTCTCCATCTTCTAAATCCTATGGAAGAGCAGACGGATACCATAGTCCTTGTAAGTTCTCCGCGGACTCGGTGGTCTAGCCTTCGAATACTCCATGGGAGTTTCCGAACGGTAGTTCGATTCGGTGCCCTTGGAGGGGACATATTCATCGTCAGATTCTACCTCCGATTCCAGCCCTTGGACCTTTTTAAGGGGTGATTTGTTTCCAAGGACCCTCATCCGTGAGTCCCGCAAGCGGGCATTAATCCTGATTGGGGACCTCGGCCGTTTGGCCTCCTTGTTGTTGATCCGATGGCGATAGTCAGTGTAAACCTTCTTCGGTATGTGAGGTTGGTCCCGTGGAGTCGGGACTACCAACCGTTTGGAAGGTGCAGGAGTTGCCTTTGCCCCCTTCTTCTATCGACTGGGAATCTGCAAACTCTGGGAAGATTGCATAGCTTGGATATTCTGCGTTTCCTGCTGATTGAGCAGCCGCTGGGTTTCGTCTACTTTGGACGAGAAAAGGTTGTTATGTTCTTGGAGCTTTGCCATATCCTTCCGAAGGGAAGTGATTTGAGCCAGAAGCTCCGCCTCGGCGGTAGTTTGAATTACTGGTGTATTACCAAAGGGAGTGCACGGGGGCAGCGCAGGGCTAGCACCGCTTTGCCTGCCAAACGGTAACCCCTCCTCCGATGAGAGCGTTGGTACTGAAGCGGTCCCCATGTATTCTGGAGAAATATGGGTCGATTTTTTGTCGTTTCCCACAGACGGCGCCAAACTATTGACGTAGAAAAATGGTTCGGCACTTTCCCCGCGTAACTTAGTGATATGGGGCCTTCGGTATTCCCTGGGCCTCGGTAGGGTGTGCGATCTGCAAGATAGCAAACGCTCGGTAAGACCTAGGGCACCGGTGTGATACTGGCCGAAGGCTCTCCGATGTTTAAGTAAGTACGGATTTAGTAAAGTTGAACTACAGATCAATAGGCAATATGCCGTAAGTTCTGATTATCTCCTTTTTGGGATAGTTATTCTCTTTTATAGACCTTGGGAGGTGTGCAAGTTGTTTAGAATTTCGATATGGGATTGTGGACTCCAATTGTGGGACTGCCACGTGTCCCGAAGGAAATGTTGCCCTAGCCACGGGTTCGGTAGGGATGGTGCCGAAGGCAACCATAGTGGAGGGCGGTTTTATTCCACGTGTCTGGCTCTCATAGGCTGCTTATTTTGGGTATAAACAATATTAATAAATAATGAATATGTAGTATGAATATTTCTTTAAAATAATATATATATAGTTTTTTTATTTATAAAAAATGAATAAGGTTCTCTCTCTCTCTCTCTCTCTCTCTCATCCATTGGATATGGTTGGATTTCGAGATGGATCCGCCACACCAACTCGACTCCCTTATTTGGAGTTATGGAAAGCCGCTTCTTAAGAATCCATCATTTGTTTATACATTACTTTGTCTAGTGTACTTATTTTTGCAAGCTTCAAAGAAGATCATAGATCTGATAATTTATTTGGAAGTATCCCGCCATTCTAGGCCCAATCAAATATTTAAGGTCTGTTTGTTACACAAGCTTAGCTTGGCCTGGCTTGGACTACATTTTAGTCTCATGTTTGTTTTATCTAATCCTAGTCTTGGATGAGATTGCTAATATGGGTCCACCAAAAATACCTCCTTAGGAGGGGACTATTAAACCCATGTGGAAAGGGAGGACTAGTTCCATGCTCACCAATGTATAAGATGCATATATTATATTGTAATAATAATAACATATATTATTATTCTTATTATTATATACCCATATATATATATTATATTATACACACACACACACACACACACACACAGATATATATATATATAAAATTTTATTTGAGGGACATCCTTTAGGGTACCCTACAAATTTTTTTTTTCTTTCTAACAATCCAAATCTTCTATTTTTTAAGTCTACATTCATAGATCATCCTTACAAAAAATTAGACAAATTAGAAACCATTTCGACATTCAATTGTATCCTACAAAATCAACGAAGACCGTACTTTAAGAAAGTACTATAATTTTAATAACACAATTGAGTAGTCAAACTATATCGGATTCAAGTGATTTTTTGTAAAGATGATCTTTGAATGATTATCTAAAACATAGACAGTTTTGATTAGTGAACTACAATGCAGAGTGGACCCTACAAGAGTGTCCCTCAAATAAGCTAATTTGAAGGATCCCTCAATGGAAGCTCTCTGTACGTATATATACACATATATACATATGCGTCGAAATGCGCGGCTACCAAGCTGTGAATTTGGAGGAATAGGTATGTGAGGAGTGTACAAGCAGTGGGGTTAGGAGCAAGCGTTTGTGCTTAGAGTTTTTTTTTTAATTGGACGAAAGGCTGCTTGAAGTTAAGTTCAAGCAGATTTTTAATTACACTTTTTTTGCCAAAAAAAAAAAACCCTTATTAATATTTTAATTTATATGGGGGGTTTTACCCCTCAATTTAACAACAAAATTGACGAACTTTGACTATAGGACCAATTTGATGCTAAATAGAGAGTTCAAGTACCATTGAAATGAAATTTTAATTAGTGGACCAAAATAATACTGGGGCAAAAGTTGAGGGACTATTTCAGTCATTATGTAATGACTTGGTCCTAAATAATTTTTTTAATTATTAATTTATTCAGATAAAAGACTATTTTGCCCATAGAATATTTTATTAGGTTTAAAATTGACTTTTTGACTGGGAAGGAAGTTGAGAATTTCGACTGTACTGTTGCGTAGAGCACGGCGAGATGAGTCCGTAGACACGAAGTGGGCTTAAATCGGAGTTGTAACAAAAAAGATACGATCAAAATATCGTCAGTGACATAACCGTAATTTTTGCGAAAAGGGTTGGATAAAAATCAGAAAACCCCCATTTCTCTCTCTCTCTCTCTCTCTCTCTCTCTCTCCCTGCTGCGCGAACACCCCCCCCCCCCCCCCCCCCCCCCCCCCTTTGGGCTTGCAACGACAGCAACTTCCCACCGTCGCCACCGCCACCACACGCCTCCACTTGGGGTGGCATCGGAATCGCCTCACTTCCCTCTTCGATTACCGACTGGTCCCAGCCTCGATCTGCGGTCGTGGTTGCCGGAAATAGCCTTGAAATAGACAGAATTTTTTACAATTTTCGCCGGCTTCGTTCTCCGTCATTCGGCCACAGTTTCAGACGAGTGAGGTATGCTTTCTCACCTATTTTTCATGATCTAGCTGATGGTTGAGTAGGATTTCAGAAATTTGAAGTGTTGATAGATCAATTTTCGAATCTAAGTTTGGCCGGATTTCAGGATGAAATTTCGGCCACTTCCGGTCACTTTTTAGGGTTTGTCCAAGAACAAAAGTGACTCGAAATAGGGTGTTACACCTAGGGTAGGAGTCTTGAGATGAAATATTGAGATTTTTCGGTGAAGCGTAATAGCCTGCCGGCGTGTGTGGCGGCGCGTGGGCACTGTAGAAAAGGGGAATTGTGTCCCGATGTGATCTCCTGGTCCTCCTGAGCACGTAGGTACTTTCGGATTCCAATTTGGTTGACGTTTGAACCCCGAAAGGATTTAGCCTATTGTGCGTTATCCGGGTTCGATAGGTTTGAACCGTTGGATTGTTTCGAATTTAATATATGTTAATCTAGGCATTCTTAGGATTGGGTAGTAATTTGCGGATCGGGAATCGGAGCCCTGGATGTTCCGATTCGATAACTTAAAGTTTGTGTTTTACAATAACCGTCTGATCGTGCAATTGTGAGCGATCCGACCGTTCGATCTGGACCAAACTTGTAGGACGTGTATCCTAAACCTTGTGGAACCCATAGGAACTTTCGGATCAGAAATCGGAGGTCATGGGCCCAGTGGGCCCGTTTGACCAAGTTTGGGTAGTTTGACACTTGGTTGACCTTGAGTCTTTCGAGGTAGTTTCACCTTTCTAGGAGGATTAAATGACCTTATTGACAAGTCTTGACCGTTATATTGAGTTATGTTGTTTACCTGGGATTATGAGATTAATTTATTGTTTTAAATTGGGGGATTATCGGATGTTATATTGTTATTTGAAGTTTATGCAATATTGAAAATTTGGAATATATGATTAATAAGAAGTGAGTGAGCATTTATTATAAATATGCACTAGTCGAAATGATTAAAGGATTATGCATGAATAATAGTTTGGAATAAGATTGAGAAATTCATATATAGCTATATTGGTGATATTTAATTTGGAAATTGTTTGACTTGAGATTTGAAAGTTTGAATTATTTTGGCAATGAATTTATGTGTTATGTGAAATTATTGTGGACGGGTTTGGATGAATTTTTGGTGGATTGAGATTAAATAATAATGTGGATTATTGTGGGAAGTTATAAGATTACACTATGTTAAGTACCATCCCTCAGTTACTGGAATTTCCATACGTGTCGTTGGAAATTTTCAAACGTATAGGAAGAATATGTGATTATATGGTCTCACACGTGGCGTTGGAATATTCCGGTGTGTGAGACACTTCCCATACGTGGCATTAAAAATTTTCCGTCGTATAGGAAGAATATGTAATTATATGGTCTCACACGTGGCGTTGGAATATTCTGGCTTGTGAGACACTTCCCATACGTGGCGTTGGAAATTTTTCGGCATATGGGAAGAATATGTGATTATCTGGTCACACGTGGCGTTGGAATATTCCAGCGTGTGAGACACTTCCCATACGTGGCGTTGGAAATTTTCCGGCGTATGGGAAGAATATGTGATTATCTGGTCTCACACGTGGCGTTGGAATATTCCGGCGTGTGAGACCCTGTGATTTGTTATGGATTGTCACACATGGCATTGGCGAATTCTGGCGTGTGGTAAAAGAATGGAGAGAGGAATAAAGGATTGTTATACTATATTGGGAAAGATTGATGCTTTAAAAGAATTATGTTTGGTGTGTTTTGATTCAAATTAAAGGGGAAAGATAATTCTAGAATATAATTTATTTATACTACTTAAAATTATTGTAAATTATCTGGTTCGTGAATATGGATGAAAGAACTACATGTGGCTTGATCTCTCAATAAGGGTACATAGGTAGCCTGGGGTCCCATTTAGGTGTAGTCGCGAACTCAAGTTATTTTGGTCTTTGGATGAGTTTGGTGTCGACCTTGTCGGTGGTTTTAAGGCTCGATTAAAAAAAAGAAAAAAGAGGCTTGATTGAATAAATGTTCATCTTTCTGTTGGACTAAGTGAGTGTTGTTCAATGGTGGTTGTGGTCAAGTTAGGTTGAAACCCGTTTTGGATTGGTGTACGATTTGGGCCGAGTCCTTAATCTACTCGCGATTGTGTTTGTTTGTGAAATACCGCATGATGGACTTTGGGAAGTTGTTTGGTGTTAATTACGGTGGGTATGCGTAAATTAGTTTGAGTTCATTAAACGCATGGTTTATTTGCATCATTTGACTTAAGAGCTTGGTAGGTGGTTTTGCTTCGGATTATTTGAAGGCCGGAGGCCGATTATGTGAATTGCATGAAATTATCTTGTGCATACTGCTGGTTGGTGATATTAAATATGTTTTGACAGGTTGAGAAGTTTTGGGAAATTGTTTGGGCCTAAATTGGCATACCCAATATAAGGAAATAAAAGCCCATCTCAGTTTTGGCAGCCACCAAACACCTCTTTGAAATTGGGCCATAAATACACATTCAGCCCAAAGAC